CGGGTGATAAAGAAAATCTATGCAGTAATTACTGTTACACTTTCTAAAGGTACCCGCGTGTCTCCAGGACAGAGCGACCAGAGTGAGGGGTAAGGATGTAATAATAAGAGAAACACAGACTCATGGTGTGTGTGTGTGTGTGTGTGTGTGTGTGTGTGTGTGTGTGTGTGTGTGTGTGTGTGTGTGTGTGTGTGTGTGTGTGTGTACTTGTGTGTGTACGTGTGTGTGCGGGCGTGTGCCGAGTCCTCAGAGACCAGGGAGCTAATAACGTGGACAGCTTGGAGCGTGCAGGTTTTGGATGAGCCCTTGGGGTCTCGAGTCGTCTCAGCGTGCTAAACGCCAGCCGGAGTCCCCGGGGGAGCCTGCAGCGCCGATACAACGATTAAAGAGGGGGAGAGAGAGGAGGGAGGGGAGAGGGCGAGCGAGAGGGAGGCAGAGCCAAAGACACGGCAAACGTGTTTCTGCTGAGAGCTGCTGTCCTCTGAGCAGTCTGAGAGGAAACATTCAGAGTGAAATAAAGATGATCACAGCGTCTACACCTTCAGGTTTTACAGCTATCACAGAGAGACCCTCAGACAGGTAAGCGAGGGTTAAATCAATACCTAAACTACTTCCTGCCTCACCTTTGTTAGACGTACAGCGGTACCTCAAAAACACTTAAGGATATCGAAAGTGGATTCTTAGAAGACTCTTCAACAGATGCTCAAGACCTTAACATGGACCTAAAGAAGGACTCAGTTACCTCAAAAAAAAGGAAAACTTAAGAGACACTTAAGAGAGGGTATACTGATGCCTCCACAGAGACACAAAGGGGAACCTTTCAACAGAATTCAAAGGGTTCTTCATGTAAGCCATAGGGTTCCTTAAAAAAGTCCTGGTGTGGACCACAATATAGAAGTTGGTCTGGTGGTCTGAGAGGCCCCAACCCTCAACTCTGACATCTCTCCTTTAATTGATCTGGCACAACAGAGAAACATCGACTACTGGCATCGGTTCATGCCACATCATTCGCTTTTGAGACAAAGTCTGTCAACAGGACTGATATCAGCTGATACCGATGTTAAACCGATAAATCGTTGTGTACCTTCTTGATACTTTAAAGGTTACATATTCTCTAAAATCCTCTTCACCATGTTTCTCTAACACTAATATGTGTCTCTAGTCTGTCTACAAACCCCTCAAATGATGAAAAAAGTCCATCCTCTCCGTCTTTTACCTGCTCCACTTCTCAGAAAATGTGTGCTCAAACAGGCCGTTTGGAGATTTTCCCTTCATGACATCACAAAGGGCAGTAGCCCCTCCCCCAGGTGGGTGACACTCCCACAGCTAGGTGTTTGTTCTGCCCTCTGTGTCTGCCTTCTCACCGTAAACAATAGGACATGGAGCGAGAAAGACCGAGACACCCAAGCCAGAGAGAGGGCGTGGTCAGACACAGCTCATTTACATATTTAAAGGTACAGACACAGAAACAGCCTGTTCTGAGCAGGGCTGAATGATCAAATACAGGATCAGAGTGGATTCACAACAAGACACTTCACACACATGTTTTGAGGAGCTCTGAAACTTAAAACAGCCACTAAAGAGGAAGCATGATTGTCCACATGTGACGCCCAAGTGGCGTGGAACAGCATTTATAGGCGGGGAGGAAAATAACCAAACAAGACAGACAAGACAGTGAACCTGACTGGATTTCTCTCCACAGTGATTTTATATGAACAGATATCAGCCACTACAGACGGCACAAAGTAAGGTACTTATTAAATGCTATCCTGAGTTTATATTTAAAAAGAGGACAGAGTTTGGGGCTGGAAGAACAAAAAGAGACGGTTTGCCAGGATCTGCTTCAGATTTTCTCTTCACCGCTCATATAAATAATTAATTTAACGAGCTGCTCGGACATGTTGTCTCTCCCATACCACGCTCTATAAATCTGACTGTTATGGACCACGCGACCAAACAGCCTAACCCCCCCCTCCCCTCTCCACCATTACCTCCCACTGGCTTCGTGGTTTTGGCTCTGCTGCTGTGCCTCGCTCTTTGATCGCCCGACCCCGTCATCAATCTACAGCAGGATGTCTCCACGTTCAGAGCTGCAGGTCTTCACACTCAGACGTGAGGTGCAGAGGTAGAAAAGTGTATTTTCACACAAAAAACCCAACAACATGCAAAGTGAGAATGGGGGAGGGGGGGGATCCCACAGACTAGACAACATTTACTGCCTGTTGACTCACTGAGTCATGACCAACATAAAACCAGCTGTGTGACATCAGACGGTTAACCCAGTCCTCTCACAAACATCTTACAAACCGGCCCGATTTATAGACGACACAGCACCAGATGATAAAGTTATAAACCTGATTCCCTTCAGACAGAGACTCTAATCTCAACACACCTACACATATGAACCAATGAACTGACACCAGACCATGGGGGGGTAACACTTCCTCATACATACACTACACAACAAACACACAACACAGGTAAGGGGTGTCTGTGGGGTGAAAGGTCAAAAAAGTTTTAGTATCCATTTGAGAAGAGGTTCAGAAATGTGTCCCTCCACAGCTCCCTTACACCTCCTCATTTGTCTGTTTCTGGTTTCTGTTTGAAGTGGAGCAGGCTCAGAGGAGCAGCAGCATTAATCACGCGCTGAGGCGGCGTTGGAGCGGTCGCAGGACGACGACGACCTGCGGCTGCTTGCTCGCACTCTGCACACGTAATGAAACATAATCCTCAAAGTTTTTGTTTTTGCAGCTCGGAGCTGGGCCGTCGATCAGCTGACGTATCCAAACACAGCCGAGCTCTAAGCGGCTCCTGCTGAGTCGTGTGTTGTTTCTGTGGGTTCACTCTGTACAACCCCCCCTCCTCTTTTCTTTGCCCCCCTGCTCAGGAGGGAGGGGGTGTATTTAGAGTCCCGGGGCAGCCTGCTGAGTCTGGGTCCAGGATTTACTCTCGGATCATCACCTGCAGGGGGCACCGCTTTGATTTGATTGATGCTGAAGTCATCAGGTCGTCTGGTTACTAATAAAACAAACCGACTCTCTTTTTACGGAGACTCGTCCCACAGTAGAGCTCGTTTACATGTGAAATACAGAGCAGTAACTCGGAGGGGTGAGGAGCAAAACATAAATAACATTTAAATCAGAAGCAGCAAAGAGTGCTCAGTGCACACCGAGAAGACAAAACAGAGTCAGGTCGCAGGCTGGGTCACAGATAGGGAGTGTGTGTCACAGACAAGCTGCTGTGATTGGGTCCCTGTCAGAAGTGTGTGTGTGTGTTTTATGCAGGAAAAAATATTGACCATATTCTTATTTGAACATCAGAGCATTAAAAAAAAACCAGTCAGATCTTGTTTCTGCCGTGAAGCCTGAAAAATGAGGAGCGGCCTTCTGTTCAAATCAGCGTTTATGCACAGAGTGAATCTACAGTGAGAGGTTGTGCAGGTTGCAGGTTAAAGCTGCAGCAGCAGAGACACATGACCCGACAGAGAGAGAGAGAGAGAGAGAGAGAGAGAGAGAGAGAGAGAGAGAGAGAGAGAGAGTTTAAAGCTCCAGGACGTCACAGACACTCTTCAAGAAAATCAGAGACGACAAACCACAGCACACAATGCATCGTGATAAGCATCAAAAAACAACCACACTGCTCATATCAAACACAGCACCACAAACACATCTTGTCACACCTGTCACTCAACCCTCATTTGAACAACACAAACAGTTCCTCTGCTGATTCAGAACACATTCATTTAGTTGTTTTCTGTGTTTTCATCATAATTTATTCACATCTGTCGATTTTTCAGAGCTGTGGTTTAAAGACCTGGTCCTCAAACATGTGACTTCTTTCTCTCTGAGTCTCTGCAAGTTTTGACTTTTCCTTTTATTCTTCACCTCTTTGAGTTATTGTCACTAAAGTACGCTGCACACTCCCTTAAAGGGAATCTCAGCCAATCAGACGCTGTGAGTCCAGTTATTTTATATTAAACAACAGTTGCAAACAGACGCACAGCTCAAAGCTCACGACATTAAGGACTGCACGCTCAACTTATTTATCAAACTCAGAGAGCAGTTCAACGAACCCGTAGATCCCCAATAAATATATAAAAAAAAATAATGCCACAAATTCATCCTAAACATCCTTCATCAGCATCAGTGAAAACGACAGCTGTTATTAAAGCAGCCTATTTATTAAGCCCCTCAAAAACATGATCCTTCATCACCTTCCGGCTGGTTGTGATTATTTTTCATATTTTATAAATCAAAATAATAAGACAGCACAGGTTTACATAGCCTCTCTCTCATAAAAAAATGTCTTTACACTCAAAATGTGAAGCCGTGCAGATCCTGAAGGAGAGAAAATCCACCCGCTGTTGGGGGTTTCGGTGCCTTCCTAAAGGGCCCCTCTGCAGTACTCAAGAAGTACCCTGGAACCTCTCCAGCTACCAGACCAACTTCCACATTGTAGTCCACACCGGGGACTTGACCTCAAACCCCCCCAGGTTCCTACAGACTGAGATACTGCCGCCCAAAAAAAAAAACATACATAGAAAACAACTTGTTTTCTATGTTTGTGTGGACCCCGTAAGAAAATGAGACGCTGCATCATCAAAGTATCAGAGTTTGGATCAGCCTATGAAGAGAGTGTGTGTCTGTCTCTGTGTGTGTGTGTGTGTGTGTGTGTGTGTGTGTGTAACATTACATGCCTAAACCACCTCCAGGGACAGTGGGGGTCCCCAGTCTGTGGCACCCTTATTTTTGGGGTCACAAGCTGTAAAGTTTGGGAAACCCTGGCCTTATCTACATGATGCAACCCTTCACAATAATACACACACACACTGACACACACACACACACACATGAATATGAAATGACCAAATTAGACTCGTGAGCCTAAAAACTACACAAGAAGCTCTAAAGACTGAGTGACTGAAATCCCCCCCTCCCCGGCCCAGCTGACCCCCGGCTCGTCTTTAAATCAGAGTAAAGTCACAGTGATCCGGGTCTTACCTCCGGTAGTCCTCTCTGCAGTACACTTTGGACTCTCTGCAGTAGCAGGTGGCGGTGAGCGGCTGCTGGCACGCGGCGCACTGCAGACACTCCTCGTGCCAGGACGCGTCGTTGACCCGCAGCAGGAAGCGGTCTGAGATGATCCGCGTGCAGCCCGCACACACGAGCCGCGGGGAGCACGAGCCTGTAGGGACGACACGGACCGAGCTCGTGAGGGGTTTCTATACAGGTAGCCTTTAATAACTGCCGGGACACAGGACAACGACTTTTTTTTTTTTTACGTCAGAGCTTTTATATGACGTAGTGTGACGGGATCAATCTCAGGTCTGGAGGTGCACGCTCATTTTGTGAATGATCTGCACGAGCTCAAACACCATCTCTGTGTTCCGGTTTATTTATATTATTTATCATGTATCATTTATTATTTATTCCGCATGTTAAAGAAGAAATTGTCCCAAAAAGCACAACAAAATAAACATTAGTAACTGTTTGAGTGGGGTACGGACCCCCTCCTCGTGACTCTTTCAGCAGATTAATTTAACTGAGAACTTCCTTCTTCCATATTTTTATTGAGTCAATCCTTCATTCTTTGTTGGGAAAATACAGATTATAATTATTATTATTCATTTGTACTTATTATCCCTCTCCTGGTATTAAATACAAAAAAAAAAATTAAAAAGGTTTTCTGTGATTTAATTAATTTTTATTTTATCATTTCGGTTAAAAGATATAATCCATAGAAAAACCTCGGAGTGTGTCGACAGAAAGAAGCAGCAATACAAATAAGAAAAAAAAACAGCTCACATAATTAAATTAAAGTAGTATTTTTAAACGGACAAATTATTGAATATTAATATTTGATATTTATTTTTTACGCTTTTAGCTGAAATCAATGGTTCAGGCTCAGGTTCACATTTCAAACGCGCTAACACAGAATCACTGCTTCAGGCTGAGAGGAATACATTCACTGATTGTGTTTTAATCAAGTTAATTAAATTAAATAAATCTTATTGAGTTAACACAAAGACGTTTGTTTCCCTCCGACCAAGAAAAGCAGCAGGAGAGTAAACACATATTGGAGCCAAAATGTGGCTTTATAATTATTATTATTTTCATTCCTGTTTATTTATTCTGTTTTAAAGCTTACATGACTCGATGATGTATTTTATTGTTAAGCTCGTCCTCTCTTGTGTTATGGTGGTTTTATTGTAGGCTGCACTGAGCTGATGTTTTTCTCTGCACCTTAACCCGAGGCTAAAATCTCCCATTAAAGTCAGTCTTATCTTATCTCTAAAACATCGAAAATAAATCAAATATTCAAAACCTCCGCTTCATTTTTAAAGATTTGACGTTTGTGTGTGTGTGTTGTGGTTTCAGGCTGCAGAGAGGAGACTTGTTTGCAGGCCTGCATGTGTGCCAGTAAGTTCAGTGTTCGCTGCAGGGATCGTCTCAGTCTGAGAGCTTTTTTAATGACTCATTTGAGTGAGAAACCACAAAGATAAGAGGAAGTTATAAACGAATATGTATCAGGGGTGTTACCGTTTTTGTATTTTCTCTCTCTCTCGTGTGTGCCCTCCAGGTGCTGCTCCTCAGTGCAGACCTATTGTGCAGACAGACCTGTGGCAATCAGGGGCCGGAGGATGAAGAGCAGGAGAGAGAGGAGGCAGCAGGACTCCAGGTGGGACATTCGGCTGTGTGTGTGTGTGTGTGTGTGTGTGTGTGTGTGTGTGTGTGTGTGTGTGTGTGTGTGTGTGTGTGTGTGTGTGCGTGTGTGTGTGCGCGCGCGCTATTGTGTTTTTGATCGAGGCCTGACTCTTCTCTCTGTAGTTGTATTTTTATTGTGAGTTTTTGACTTTTATTTCAGAGTAGCTCTCTTCTCTTCTCTTGTTTTGTGGAAGAAGCTTGTTTTGAGTTGATGCGTTTTAATTAGTTTGTTAATACCTTTTTAATAAATGTAATTCCTCCTTCTCTTTCCCTGGATTATATTCTATCGTCCCTCACCATCTCGGGGAATGTAGGCTAACATTTTGGGGACTCGTCCCGCAATTAAAGCTGTGATCCAAAGTGCCCCCCTCACGCGCTCGTGTTGAGATTTCTCTGAAATTTTGAATAAATTAAACGAACCATGTTGGACTATTACACCGTTTAATGTGTCCTCTCTCTCTCTCTCTCTCTCTTTTCTCTCTTTTCTCTCTCTGTGTTTTAATGTGGTGAGCTTTGACAGACGCAGCTTTGGCTATTTATTCACTGTGGTGACATCAACAGTTAAAAGAAACAAATGAAGACGAGAGCAGGTAATATCACACGAAAGAAGAGAGGGAAACTAACTAAAAGTAAAAGAGCAGACATTTCTGTGATTATTTTGATGAATATTGACCTTTTCACTTTGAGCTGTGCCTAATTTCTCCTACAAAAAGATGAATGACAGGTCCGTAATTAAAGCTGAATCAAATCAAGGAGACTTCATTAACAATAGAAATGAGCACAACTCTTTGTGTGTTTCCCCCTCACCGCTCCTCTGGTGCAGACAGCTCTCCTCCGTCCTCAGTCGGTCCTCCACCTTTATGTCGTTCAGCATCTTTAACGCGCTCACAGAGGGACACGCGCCACTCTCCACGCGCCTGTCTCCACGCAACTCTCCTCGTGCTCCTCTGACGAAGTAAAATGTCACACACACAAAAAAAATCCACAAACAGAGAAAAAGTGTCTGAGAGGAGAAAACCTTCAGCGGGAGTAAATCCAGAACAAGAGGACGATCCGGATCCTGAGGTCCTGAAGACTCTGTGGCATCCTGAGCTGAGGGACTGAGACTCAGAGAGGAGAACAGCCCCCTCCTTTAGTCCTCACCCCCCTTAGCGGAGCACTTTCTCTGTTATTGGTGCTCGATGGATCCGCCTCCACACAGTCCACATCTTAACAACTGAAAATCAAAACCCCACAAACACACAGACACAAAGCATCATGGGAAATAAAGTCTCAGAATAAACACATACAGACCCTGAAACCCTGCCCACCTTAAAGGGGGCAGGCTGGAGCCTGGTCTGTATTCAGGACTCAGGAGGGGGTGAACATTTGAATGTTTTATGAATTTGAAAATTTCTTTGTTTTTTAAATAATCTAGTGGGTTTTTTTTAAATGTTTTTTGATACAACTTTTTATGGCGTTCACAGCGTGTAAACAAACATTTGTACATTATGAAAATAATCAACCATGTGTGCGAGTAGTTTGCAGATATTATATTAAACAACGACATTTGAAAAGTTTCACCTTAAAGTGCACAAACATTCGGGCATCCATCAACCGCAAACAACAACAAGGAACGCTAGTGAGGCAGTGGTTGGTGTGCACGCCTGGTGTGTGGAGGCTGTGGTCCTCCAGGCGGGCGGCCCCGGTTCAAATCCAACCTGTTAGCCCCTTTCCTGCATGTTGTTCCCCCCCCCCCCCCCTCTCTCTCTCTCTCTCTCTCTCTCTCTCTCTCTCTCTTTCTCTCTCCCCCCGATTTCCGACTCAATCCACTGTCCTATCTCTCCAATAAAAGCACAAAAATAAATAATAAAAAAATAAAATCGGGGCTGGCAGGTGCTATCGCCCCAATTGAGCCCCCTCATGTGTGTCTGCTTTAATTTAAAAAAGAGAAATTAAAAGTCAATATGAAATCTATTCGTAGCACCCCAACATATCAGTCAAACTCTCCCTCAGCAGGAGGAAGAAAATCCTGGCGCCGTCCCTGCCAGTAGAAGAGGGAGGATGTAGAAATATTAACAGCAGGTTTATTTTATACAGCACAGTGAGAAAGAAGCTTAAAGCAAAGAGTATAAATAAATATGTCTCACAGGCTGAAATGTAAGAATATATATATATATATATATATATATATATATGTCAGAACATATTTAGTCTACAGAATAAAAATAAGATTTGTAGAGAAACATGATCAGCATGTTCAGAAGGACTCTGATGGTGCTGCAGAATTTAAAACAAGATTCTGTATTTGAATACATCTAAATGATGCAATCTGCGCACGTGCAGCCGGATCTATAATTAGCATATTCAAATCTTAAATAAACTCAGATAAGATATAAAGGCCTCGTGCTGATATGAAAAATACAATAAACCGGAAATTGTTTCCGTCAGGTTGTTATAAAGCTGTCACATCGATCAGTGGAAATCAATAAAAAGAAAAAACACAATATTCATCACAAGACGGACATGAGCGCGTGAGGAGCGTTTATGAACGTATTGACGGGAAATTAAAGACGGAGAGTAGCGCGCGCGCGGGGCGGCAGCTCACGAGGACATCTATGAGCTTAATCTGCAATTTAATATTAAATGATAACACATGGAGGATTTTATCTGGGTAACAAAGGGAGGACAGGGGGTGTTCTTGATCAGAAGAATTTATTATAAAACCCACAAAAGACGATTTATTTAAAAAAAATAAAAAGTTAAAGTTAAAAGAGAACAAAAAAATAATTCCCTAATCTCCTATTGACATAGATTAAAATATATTTACGTGGCTGCCATGAAACGTGTATTATTTTGTCAAAACAGTTGTAACAGAAAACATAAAAATCTAAAGATTAATCTGAACATCAGACTGAATAAATATTTAAGTTTCTGATTCAATTAAACGGTTTCTTTTAAAATTTATTGTGAAAGTGCAATCTGTTTAAACTTAAAAACATAACATCACAGGACTTAGAAGCACAGATTTATGTTTTCATGACTTCAGTCGTTTTTGTACTCGAAGCTGAAAAACATTAAAAATGTCATTAAACTTTAATAAATCACAGAAACCTGCGAATGACAGGAGTCATAAAGGTGTGACAGCACAATGTGTTTATCATGGTAATGTTGAAAATCTATTTATTTATATGTGCATTAAAAATAAACCTCCAGAAAGCTGTTCAGAGCAGTACGGTGTGATACTGCCCCCTTGTGGTCAAACGTAGCCAGAGAGACAGAGGGACGGATCACAGCTGCTGAGAGGAGGAGGTTCAGCATGAGTTTAAACAGTTATATTTATTTATTCATGTGTATAATTATTTATATGGAAAGAGTATAATCAGGGGAATGTTCCTCTACCTGCTCCACCTAAAAGCTTGTGATTTAACACCTGCATCAATCATACATCTTTCAAGCCCGTCGAGGTCAGATGCAGAGGCTTTGCAGTCCACATGTTATGCAATGTCTTTGTACTGCTTGGCATCACAGGAGCTGCCAAAAGGAGAGGGTTCAAGACCACCATTGAGGCTGCACAGAGGGTCTCTAGGGGGACTTTGGATGAAGAGGTCCGACCTGTGGGCCAAAGCTGCTGGGACACGAGTCAGGGCATGATTAACCCCGGCTGGGTCGCCTGAGGGAGAGTGTCTGATGGGGTGAGACCCGGTGAACTCTGGATACATCACTGATGATGAGTCCCAGTGCATCCGAGGATGTTTCTTCAAACCAATGTCAAATGTTTTTTTTGTGATAAAGAAAGTGTACTCTGACTTCTCAGGTACCCAACAATCAGTTTTGATGCTGATCAGAACTCTCAAGAACATCTGTTGATGTCTGAAAAGTGCTCTACCTCTGGTCACTTCCTGTCAGCACCTGTTCTCTGCCTCTGGTCACTTCCTGTCAGCACCTGTTCTCTGCCTCTCGTCACTTCCTGTCAGCACCTGTTCTCTGTCTCTGGTCACTTCCTGTCAGCACCTGTGCTCTGCCTCTCGTCACTTCCTGTCAGCACCTGTGCTCTGCCTCTGGTCACTTCCTGTCAGCACCTGTGCTCTGCCTCTCGTCACTTCCTGTCAGCACCTGTGCTCTGCCTCTGGTCACTTCCTGTCAGCACCTGTGTGCCCAATCAGACTTAAAGCTGTTTGTTTGCTCTTCCTGTAGTTGTCTACTCCTCTCTACATCCTCGCTCGTGTTGTTCTTACTCTCAGATGTTCGTCGCTTTGTATAAAAGCGTTGTGGTTAACGAGGATAACTTGAGCAGCCTAATGAACGCTCTGCTGACGAACAGGCAGCCGATTTATAACACAGATCTGAAGACGAAGAGGTTTGATCTTCTCTCGCTGTGAAACCTTTGATGACACCCCCCCCCCAGACTCTGACTGGGGAACAGTGTGCGAGGAACGCAGCAGCAGCCGTCGACCAATAAACACGTTTTATGATTCTGTCCGTTTGACGGATCTGAGACGTTTAAAAGTCGTGGAAAATTAGGTACAAGTGTTAAAGAGGCTGCGGTGACACCAGCACAAAGCATTCTGGGAAGTTGTTTTGCAGCAGACTGCTGTAAATTTGTGATCTTTGTGTTTTATATCGATGCTGGTGGTCTGTGAGTTCTTCAGACTTCAAGTGTCACATTATATACAGTTTTCTGAAGAATCACTCATTGTTGGAACAGTTTTTTTTCTCTGCACATTTATTAAAGGAGAATTCTGGGATTTTCTTGCTTCCTGTCATTGCACGTTTTTGGGTCTAAGAAGGTTCAAAAAGTTTTAAATGTCTCCAGTAGACTAAATCATCCTGCAGCAGTGAAACAGGCTGCAACATAAACATCGATGGATCAAATAGTGTCCTCTAGTGTTGTAGTCAAGACCAAACTTACCGAGACCAGAGTGCTCCCAGACTGACACAAGACCAACACAGTTAGGGATCGAGACGGAGACAAGACTCAGACCAAGGCAGGACGAGACCGAGACAATAAATATCTCTGAAAAATCATCTTGTGTACAGGGGGCGTGTCACTCACTGTAACACCGGGAAGGTTGCGGTCGTAACCGGGGGATAAAAATCAAACTACAAATTAATTTTTTTAAAGAAAGGGGTGTTTTCATTCTAGTTACAGTAATGACATGGAGAAGCATTACATTTGCATGCAATGTGAGGCTTCGAGCTAACTAAAGCGCTAACATTAGCATGCTAACACAACAATACAGCTCAAGTCAAGGACAATTTATCCCCTGCTTGCACTAAACTCCTTCGTGTGAGTGGGTTTGGAGGTGTGTCTCTAGAGGAGAGCGGAGCTTCAGTATGGAGGAGGTGTGGCAAAGTTTGTTTGGGTTTCAAAGGCGCCATCTACTGGATCAAAAATAAGAAAGAACCTTACCTTATCTAAAGGTGTGTCTCTGTAGGGATCCTGTAAAGGGAGAGACATGTTGGACTCTCTGGGCGTCAGCCTGAGGTCTCCTGTAGACTAAAGGAATCATTCATGGAGACCACAGCAGCAACCAGAACACCAGTATGCAAACTGGGGACAACAACCTCACCTGTGTCCTGTGTCAGCAGCTCAGTCAGAAAACAGTTTGGCTAAAATTATCGACAACGTTTTTATTGACTGAAACTGGACTCAAAGGTTTTGAGTTGGTGTCGACTATTAAGTGAAGAAACAACCCAAAATTGACAAAAACTAAAACATGTTTTATGGTCTAAACACTAAGTCTTAAAAGATGCCACAATTAACAATATGCAATATGTCAGCGACTATCAGAGGATATCTTAGCTTCATCTTGTTCTACAGAAGACAGCTAAGGTATGCTGTCCATTTGTATACTATTTGTCTATGGTAAATCCTGAGATTTATTTAAAGGAGCAGTATGTAACTCTGACACCTAGTGTTTAAAACAGTCTACAGTCTAAATTCTAAACATTGTAGAGAGCTTCGATCTCTAAAACGGCCGTGTGGGGGTGCCTTAAAACCGCCTACCTTCTCTGGTCCAAACAAATCCAGATCATTCAGGACCAGAATCTAAAGTTAGAAGGAGGACATACTGGCTGCTGCATTGTTGTCAGAGAAGCCAGCACTTCAACATAGCATGTTTCCTTAATGTCTGATCATATAGTAAGGTCACTTTATCATTTCACATCTCACTGATTGGACATTGAATGTATTTCCCCCTTTTAAACCAGGACCTGTAGAGCTGCTTCAGTGATTTATGAGAACAATCTGATCTTGTGTTCCAAAGTCAAACATCAGAGTGTTTCCACTTCTTCTCTCTGTGGTCGTGTCGTGATGCTAACTTCTGTCTTTAAAGCTCCTGTGGTGGCAAAGAGATGAAACCACTCTCTGAACCTTCAACATGTGTGAAAGAAATTAATCTGTGCAGTTTAAGACCTCTACCCAGAGTGTACACCGAGCTCTGGGCATTAAAAGGACTCATGGAAACATCAGAGAACGAACACGTGGCCTGTTGGACTTTTACGACACCACAAGAGAGTTAGATGGAGTAAATAAACAAAGAATCTTTCCTGTCATATGATTCGTCCTTACTGGAGGCAGTGGAGGTCTGAAAGTCAGTTCTTTCAAATCAAATTGGATTGACGGTTCTCAGATATTTCCCTTTGAAAAAGATTTTTAATGAAGGACAGAAGTTATTTCGTCTTGTGTTTTTTTTTTTTTTTTAAAGCATGCTTACTATGTCTCTCTCTTTCTTAGTGTGCGACACTTTCATCTCATCATCTCTCTTTGTTATCTGCACATCAGACTCATTGTGATATTGTAGAATCATTTTGGTGTATTCATTTTGCAGACTGTTTTAAGGTCACCTCAAACTAAACTTTTGTAAGATGTATCCTTTGAGTTTGCTGGAGTCCAAAGGTGAAGATGACAGAGACAGAGAGAAGGACAGATTAAAGGTGGAAGGGGAACACAGAACTTCATCAGGATTAGGAAACTTTCCATGGGAATTAACAGGAATTAACTGGGAATTTACTAAATTGAAGGTTGGCCCTTAACAGTGAACTTAAATATATTTTAGAATAATTTTTGAGTAAAACAACCAGATTTCATGCAAGTACACACATGTTCATAGCACACTGCTTACTGCAGGGGTATTGAGGCCACGCCCCCTAAATGCACTTTTCTTGGGACTTTTTGGGGATTTTTGGAGGGGGGGGGGGTTTGCATTTTACTTCATTTTTGAATGGGTTATTTAGCATGGATGTCTGCTTTATGACAAAACAAAATGTTTATATTTATGCTTGGTTATGATACATTTAAATTAAATTACCCTCAATTTCCAGTTAAGTTTCCAGAAACTTTCCACCCCTAATCAGGATTAAAATCGATGACATCATCACTCTCACTAATGACACAATCCGACTTCAGGTCAAACTCTTCAACCATCGTCCTTTAATAAAAACTTCCTCAGAATACAAACTCTACGCTCGTGGGTTTTTTTTTTTGTTCTTCTCAGAATACATTTGATATTTCTGTTCAAACCTCGGATATCCTGCATGCAAACTAATAAGACTGTTAACTGTGGTTAATGCAGACGCCAGATTAGTGAGCGGCTAAGAAACGATACGTGTGGTGCAGCTCAGCTCGGAGCGTCACGTGTCCAACATGGCGGCAGTGCAGAGAGACGATTCTACAGGTTACACAGCTGAAAGCAACATCGCACAATACTGACATGACTAATAAATTAGACAAACAAAAATATTCAACACAAGTTGATCCATGCAGGTGTGACTGGGATGGGGATCATTAAAGATAAAGACTCTTAACTCCTGAATGACCTGCGTCTTTACCAACACAACCATCGATATTATCACGGGGAAAGACGAGACGACAGCGTTTTAACTGAACTCAAGACTCTTGCTGTCAGCTGGATTTACACGGGACGGTTCTCAGAGACCAGAGACATGAGGACCATTTTCTAACATTGTAATTCCACAGACACGAGATCTCACAGAAACACACGTGATAAAACGTGAGTTCAGAAGAAAAACAAAGATGGAGGACAACCAATGTTGCAGCTTGGTCCTGAGGCTCGTCCAGTTGAGACTCATGACGCGACGCAACAGCAGTATCGATGAGCTCAAAGGAGATGGATTTTCAGGGTTTGAAATAAGCGGACACAGGTCCTCATGGAACCGGGTTTGATCCCCATCCCTAGCTGTGACGTGATAAAGTTTCAGAAACATTTAAAGAAAATAAAGAGAAAAAAACTTTTTGAACATCTGGCTCCAGAAACAAAAACAGTGAAATACAAACGGTGTTCAATCTTCTAAACCAAAGAACTCAGAGTTAAACTCATTATTCTGATTCGAGAGACGTAAACAAAGTGAAGAGAGACATCTCAGAGAAGGCGTTTGTGGTTTGACGCTACGGGGGGGTAGGAGGGGGGCTTTACTCCAGATTTCCACAAAGTCTATGAACGCTGAGGTCAGTCAGCACCACAACTTGGCTCCTATTCTGGAGTGTGAGTGCAGCCGTACACACATCACAGGAGAACTCCAAGATCTCAGGAGAACTCCAAGATCTCAGGAGAACTTCAAGATCACATGGGACTAAAGAGAACGTGTAAACATGTTGCTTTGCGCCTGTTTTGATGTCATGTTGATAAAGTGGTGAATAATACGATCGTGTGTCTGTTTTATTTTGAAATTTCCTTGTCTGACTTCCTGTCCGGGTCGATATATTCTGTCCAGCTGGACGCATGCCTGCAGCGAGCTCCATAAAAAAATAGACTCGCAGCGTATTTGAAACGGAGCAGAGTAGCAGTGGAAGCTTAGCATCGACTATGATGGCAGCGGACGGCGGCTTCATGCACGGCGCTGACGGACCTCAGCGTGCAGACTTTGTGGAAACTTGGGAGTCACAACATCATCTTAACAGGTGATAGAAAAACTAAAACAAAGCAGGAAGAAATAAAAAAAACATTAGTGTAAAAACGTTGAGGTTATAAAAGAGCAGCAGAGAAGTGAGAGTGATGAGAACTCAACGTCTGATGAGACTCAATAATAAAAAGATCTTCACAGGTAAACATGGAGGCGGCTTGAAGATGAATAACCAGCAAATCAAACTGCCTGGAGGTTGATTTTTAAAACTGGAAACTCGCAGAAGGTGGTCTGATATAAGTCGCACACAGACAGTCTGATTATTGGAGGAGTGATATAAAGAGTGTAACAAACGTTGGTAACGTAAACAACTTAAAATGTGATCGCTTCGACAGAGCGGCGAGCACTTGAACACGTGCAGCTGGAGTGTTTAACCATTAACTCAATATTCCTCTTTTAAAGTGTTCATATTAAAAATGAGACGAGTGTTATTAGGAATCACTGAAAAAAAAAAAAAAAAAAAAGAATAAAATGGTGCCCGGCTCTTACAAAGACGTCAGCACACACAAGGTCGATTAAACTCAGAGAGGAACAGGTTAGTGGCTCGTGACGTGCAGCGGGAGAGAGAGGCGTCCCGCTGCAGAAACCTTTACACAGTAACAGTAAAGCTGCGGCTCGTGTCCACAGACGTGCAGCACACAAGTGGTTAACACACACTGAAAGTCCAAACACAAAGTGCACTCACAGTCACACGTACATTATTTTACAGTAACATCGAAAGATCATCAGAGTGGTTCCCATCAGGAGAAGAAGAAACCAACCAGTTTCTTTTTTTTTTTTTATATTCCCCGTTCAGGATCCGCCGTGTAGCTGCAGGAGTCTGAACGAGAGGAGGCGGACTTGGCGGCGCCTCTCGTAAAGTTTCAGAGAGCACTCCTGTTTTAATCCTCTCCTGGTCTGAAACAAGTCCTTCAGAGGGGACAGGGAACACGATGAATCCTCACAGAAAGAAAAATTGTTTAACATCTCATGACGGAGATATATCCGAGTCTTGAAACCTGTTAGGCTCCGCCTCCTTTTTAAATCCAGCTGATGTGTGTAGTGGTTTATTCCAGATTCCTCTTGTTTTTGTATTCTCAGTATGTGTGTATGTCCTCAGTAGTTGTGTACAGGTGTCTCCCGTGGGTCCTTGCAGGAGCATGATGACGGTATGGGTGGGGGGGGGCATCCTCAGGCCTCGGAGCTCAGGGAGGTCCGTGTTGGACTCGGGGGGAGGCGAGCGGCTGCACTGTGCTCTGTGCGGAAACTGTAGTCATACTGACACAGGGAGAGTCACACGTTATACCTCTGCACTCCACAAACAAACTACACACCACACTGACATCTGGTGGACACATTGTGTTATTACAATGACATTTTTTATCTGTCAAAAGTTTCAACATTAATCTCACATCTGCAGTTATCTCCACAGTTTTTCTTAACAAATTTCAGGAGTAAACAATGTGTCATCAAAACATTCACACTCTTTGATCATCTGACTGAACTTATAACAGAGCAGTGTCATTTTGTCACCTACGTTTTTCTTTTACATGCGCGTTAAACTTGAGTAAACTAAAAGTATCTCGACCTCTTGTCAGTCAGCTGAACTCACCTCTTTCTCGATCTCAGCCAGAGACTTGATGGTGATTCCCATCAGGTCGATCTGCTGCAGCTGAACACGGAGAGAGAGAGAAAAGAGGGTTAGTGCTCAAGTTTCATCTTCAGTTCAACATATTTCAAACATTTAGTGTTCAAACTGAAGGGATCATTTTTCTACCACACTCACATCGGACGAGGCACAGGCAAACTTCTCCGAGACCATGAAAGGAACTCCGTCCATCGCTGAAAAGACACGATTCAAAGACCAGTTACAAATCTGCAGCTGAACGCAGACGGTTCATTTTAACAGTCAATTACTACTATGATAAAAGAAGAGGAAGAAGAATAAGAAGAGGAAGAAGAGGCAAAAGAAGAAGCAGCAAAAGAGGAATACGCAGAAGAAGAAGAGGAAGACACAGAAGAAGAAAGGGGGTGGTGTGTTGCTGACCTGAGATGGCATACAGGTTGGAGTTCTGGTGTTCGTAGTCCGGTCTGGTAGTGTTCTTCCCTCTGAAGCTGGCGGGGAGCGTCATGGAGATGTGCCTTCAAAAAAAAAAAAAAATCAAACACAGTTTCTGTTATTTCAATGGAACCAAACACTGAATATATTCATCCGTCCCCTTACTCTAGTGTCTAAAGTGCCATTCAGACCGCCGTTTCAAACCAACATGGTTTCGACTTCTGAGTTCAGCAGAGTTGTATGTCACTGTTTCTGAAAGCATCATCCGATACGGGATAACAGCGTGGTGTGGTCACTCGTCTGTTCGGCTTAAGGCACTGATAACTCACCTTGTGCTGACTACTGTTAAGATCTTGGGTGTTAAAAAAGGCCATCTCTCCAAACACTCTGAGCAGTCTGTTGGATAGGCACAGAGAACAGTGTCTGACCCGACACACAGTCTGCACTCTGAGCTTCAGCTTCGACCCTCTGGGAGAAGATTCAGGATCCCTCAGACCGGGCTGAACCACCTTAAACATTCATCTGTGCCGATGTCTGTTAATATTCTGAATAAGCGGTTTATGTAGGATGATGGACGTGCAATGTGTCGACATGTCACTGCTGCAGGAAGCTGTCTTTATGCATTTAGGGAATTGTTCCTTTTTTTGTATGATCTCTAATTATGTACTTATTAAAAATGATCTTGTAACTGCAGGACCAAGACACATTTCCTGTTGGGGACAATAGTTATGAGGAATGTGACTTCCTGTTTCTTCACATTTGATTCAGCCAGATTAGTTTTGTACCAAAGTGTAGTTTTATTCTCAAACTAAAATCTCTGAACATGAAGTCTGATATTTTTCATCCCGGGAGCGGATGTGGTTTAATCAAAATCAGGATATTATCTCCTTAGAAACAGATACTCAAAGTGATCTGACAGCTCCAAAAACATGATGTACATCAGGCATCTGTCCTCTTTCCCTTTCGTCCACATTAAGACGGTTTCTCTTCGTCTGCACCTCTTCCTCCTTCTCTGTGATCTAAACTTAGATCTGTTTCCTCCCCCTGAGGAAGAGATGTTCAAGGACAGAGAACATCCTCTTTCCTCGCTTCAGGACTGAGCCCAGAGTCTGTGATGTGTGTGTGTGTGTGTGTGTTCATGCAGGAAACATGTGACACGCGTGTACAAACACATCAGGGTGGACTTACTTGGGCATGGGAGCAGCGGGGACCGGGTTGGAGCTGGAGGTTGAGTTCACGTTCTGGATGTTGTTGGAGGTGGGGGTGTGTGAGGAGTCCTGAGCCCGAGGAACATTCCCCATCCGGTACCAGATCCCCATGTTGTTCAGCTCCCTGTCAGGCAGTAAAGATGGATTAAAGAGTTAGAAGCTTCATGTGAATCACATCCAGTTTTATCTTTTGTCCCGGCTTCTTGCAATGCGAGTCAACTTCTCATCCCGTATTTTTGATTTAAAGAGAAACTTCTCTGCAGAACTTGGGATGAAAATGTTTTTACAGGAGGATCTGGAAGACTCATTCTGGGTATAACGGGTCCTCAGGGATGTGTTTGTGCTTTTCTATAAAAAAGGTAGAATTCCAGATTTGCTCCATTTCAATGCATTCATCACAGTTGTTGGATGTGACACAGCAGCAGAGACCAAACTATTTCTTAAAGTTTTGGTTTTAGACCATACGAGTCAGTCTCTCTAAGGACATGTAGCTTAAAGCTGGATATATACTCGCTGCTTAACCTTGTGTTTGCATACAGAAAAAGGCTGCTTCATGGAGACACTTGTACATTTACTTTTGAGTATGTAAGCGTGTTACCAGAGGAAACCTCTAGAGGGCACACCAGCGAGTATCAGGCTTAAACAACTTCCTGGTTTGTCTCTGGGGGCGCACTCACACTAGACAATCTGTACGTGCCTAAGCACTCTTCACCCCTAAAGTCCAGATCGTTAGACTTGTGCGAGTACTCCGATCCGAGCTGAAGCACGATACACTTTCTTGGGCCATGAGGGCTTTGAAGAGGTGTGCTTTGGCACGGTACAGTTCATGCATGAGCACAAGCACGAGTACACAACGTGGACAGCCTTCATTATGGATAAATCCAGAGTGTTATGTCTGTATCTGAAATCTTAAACTAATCTGCTAATGTGGTCACGTCTCAGCTCTTGAAGCATTCAGTTTTTTGCAGTTTTTCGATGAGAGATATTGATTGAGGTTTGTCTTGGCTCATATTCTCGGGGCTCCAGTCAATCCCTTATATCCAGCAGTTATTAAATCCTCCTACGATCATCAGGAGGAGAGCATCTTATAAAGTCTACAGGCAGTATTAACAAAACCCCCCCGTGATCCCAGCATGCTCACCCTATGAAGGTGTACTGAGGGGGGGCCTGTTTGGAGCGTCCCAGGATGCGGATGTCACAGATGGCGGCTTCTGTGGAGTCCCGAGGAATAAACTTGATGCAGAGTCGCCTCTTCCTGAACGCCTGCTCCTCTGTGGGACACAAAAATGACGATCATGAACCGACACGCTGCATTAACAGCAGAGATAAACTCCCCCCCTCTCTCTCTCTCCTCTTCTTGATGACTTACGTGTGTCGACGGTCTCCTGGATGGGGATGAACCCAACGGGCAGAGTGTCCTTTATATCGATCAGCTTCATGTCAACAAGGACGTTACCTAAATGGCTCTGCAGAGAAGAAGGAAGCGGTTCATTCAAATGTTTCATGTGTTTGATCAAAGAGTGAGAGAGAGAGTGAAGTGAGCGTACGTACGTTTTCTTTAGAGAAGACCCGCGTGAAGCAGAGGTAGCGGGTCACTTTGGATTTGAAGAGGCCGTCTTTCCAAAGGTCGGCATCCAAACCGTCTGTTGTCGTCGACACCTGGAGGAAGAGCATGCATCGGACTGAGTCAACAGTGAAATATCTGTTGGACTCTTTGTTGAACTTTTTTCAACTTCAAAAATGTCCCAGGTTTTCTGTCATTTATTGTTAGTCCTAGCTGTTAAAGAAAATGGAATCTTTGGTCAGAAGCTCAAAACTTTGAACCAAGAATTAAAAGTGAAGCACGTCTATAAAAAGCAACTAAGATCTTTGAAGACAGAAGACAGCCTGCATTAAAACTCTGACGGGACACAACTTTACACACATTTTAAGACTACAACAATCTGCACGCCAAGGAAAATGGAAAAAGTGGACTGACTTTAAAACCCATCACAAATGTCTGAAGAGAATGGACTATTTAAAAGGAGGCTAAACTGACTATTGTTAACTGACACCAACGTTTGTATACTGTGTTTATTTTGATGTATCCTCATCAAGCAAAGCAAATAAAATATAGGTAATAAAAAAAAAAACTCTGACGGGACACAAATCCCTGCAAAGGTCAAGTCCCCTCATGAGGGTCTGGAGGCCGCTGATTGCAAGACCTGATCAAAGACAAACGGTAGCATCAGCCTCTCCCTTCACCCTAGCCTCAAATCACGTGCAGTGGACCTTTGACCCCAAAACCCCTGCTGCAACCCCCTTACCCGCCAACATGTGTCTGTTTGCGTTCACATATGCAGCTTATCTCTAAAATCTCAGGATGTTTTCAGGAGTTTTTCTGCATGAGTGAAAGCACCAGAGGTGATGACTTAATTTTTATTTTTTTTACCCCTGACAGTATGATTACAGCTTGAAGAACCATTCTGGGCTACATCATCAAATCTGACTATTTTAAATCTGGTGATTGAGCTGTCCATCTGTGATGAGCTGTGTTTTAATGACTCACCACATCATATCCGGTGGGGGCCCTGTTCCTGGAGGCCACTACTCCCACTCCGGTGATGGGGTCCATGGGCATCTCTGGCAGAGCTTCAGAAAGGTCCCGAACCTCCGGCATCTTTGTACAGATCTGAAACAAAGGACGTTTTCACATTAGACGTGATTGCCTGAGCATCTTTAGAGAAGTATGATGCAGCATTGTGTTTCTACACAGATTCTTTCTGAGTGTTTTAACATGTCTAAAGTGGTCTTCAAATTACAATCCCTCTGGTCACAAACCCCCCTGGACCTGGGAGAAACAGGCGAAAAACTTTATAAACGATAAAGCGATAAACTTATGTGGTTTCTGTTGAAGCTTTTTAATCACGTTACTATGACAACACAGATGCAACAGGTGGATAAACTAAAAAAAACAAACAATGTGGACTTTCCCACAGCGTCATCGTTCTCTGTGTGAACAGTTGAACTCTCAACGGTGAGCATTCCCTCTGCATGACATCACAATCAAAACAGAGCACTCCCCACAAACCAACACACCTACACACACACACACACTGTGGTCTTGTGCCATAGGTTCAACTTCTTCAGCTGTGAGGATTAGTCGACTCGCCTTGTCTTAACGGATTCTAAGCAGAGTGTTTTGGTTCTGGAGAGTTAAATTAAAAGTGAGGAGGTTCCTGTGTCTTCCTGCATGTTTTTGACTGAAGGCTGTAACTATCCAGCCGTGTGTGTTTCCGCAGCACAGCAGCATATTAAACAGCAGTCAGAGGAGTGGGATTTACACAGAGACCCTCTTCACGCTGCCTGGACAACAGAGGCCTCCTGCTCAGCGTCTCCATGAAAACCACAGTCTTCTTTTCAGAGACGCCACACAAAGACGGAGAGCATAAAGGACTGACTGACTCCACACTGATGTCTGTGTGTGTGTGTGTCTGTAGTCCGAGAACAAAACAGACCCCAGGAGGCTGCAGACCGGTGATCTGAGACACTGGACTGCTGGTATCATTTCCACATCCTCACAGCAAACAGAGCACAGCTTTGTGTGAACGAGGGATGGTCAGGATTGGTCGACTAAACAGTTTAACGTCATCACCCTCACAAGTTGACACCAGAGAAACAAGTAACACAAATCATTAATATGTTTTTTTATGTTGGCCCTCTATGTCTCTCAAATATTGTGCTGAAACTGCAATGCAGCCGCCCACCACGAGTCGGGCTGTAGCTCTGATTAACGGACCTGCTCTCCTGGCTCTACTACCCGGATGTAAACAAGCACAGTGAACAGATTTCATCTTGTAGGAGCAGAGCTGTCTGGCATCATTGTGATCTAGAAAATGGAGTATGTATGTAGGCTGTGCCAGGTTAAACTGGTGTATCTACCGGAGGAATGAGTGGAGAAGAACCTGCAAGGAGAACCGAAGGCTCATGATGGTAGCAATGCTAACGTTAGCCACACTCAGCAAACCAAATGACATTGTTAAAGGGATACTTCACCCATTAGCATTATGCTTTGTATCATTAGAAACCTGGTAGTATTTTTGAATGGTAGTGCATCCTGTCCTCATTTTCCCCTGAGATGGGAAATCTTTGCATTTCTAAGTCTGAAAAGTAGCTTCCAGTGACGCAAAAATCATAATTTTAGCTGGGGCGGACTGGTAGTGTCGGTGCTCTCACTGTTTGCCTATGGACACAGACATAGAGTCTGTTTTCTGCCAGGAATTTCCAAGATCAATTCTGGAAGAAATCTCGGAATCAGTTGAGGAAATGGCCTTATGTGTTGAAGTAAATATGTCTGTAAATGTTTTCATTAATATATTTCTACTGCTATATTGTATATTTTGGAGAAACTGTAATGATCGAATTTCCCTCTGGATTAATAAAGTATTTCTGATTCTGACCTAGAGGACCTTAGTGGGAGTGGCCTATGGTGCTGTGCATTCTGGGATTTGGTGTCTTTTGTCCACTTGAGCCAAAAAGACACTTTCTGCCTTTTCTCAGCCAAGAAGGCACCAACTTCAAAAGTTATTTCTCTTTTCTACTACATATATGACCCAACGTCAATACAGATTCATGTTTCAACATCGGGTGAAGTATCCCTTTAACCCTCAGACAAGTTTCAATACATTTTGCTAAATGTTGACCGTTCTCTAAATGTTCTTACCTTTAGACTCGTCGGTTAGTCTGAATTAAAAATAAATGTTTAACCCACTCAGAAATGAGTCCCCCGGGAACATCCCGAGTATGAACTCAGATGTACTTCAGTAAACTATTCTCAGCTTCTGCATCAAAACATGTAGAGGATAACGTAAGAAGAACTGTAGGTAATGAAAGGACAGACTTTTATTCTCAATAATGAAGGAGATAATCCTATTATTAGTGGCCAATGTTCAAACCCCAAACATGTTTGTTTCACTTGAAAATGAAGCCAAGGGAAGCAGTAAACCCTCACAACAAAGAAGTTGAAACAAAGACACTGAAACTGCTTTGTATGGAATCAAAGCCCTCAGGAGAGGAACTGAGACAGATAAGGTAGGAAATGCCTCGTTTGGTCTCTGACCCTTTGATGGTATCCACATCCACATTGTGTTGTCAGATTGACATCAAGGTTTCAGAAAAATACAAAAAATGCTTCTAGGCTCACTCAGCATTACAAGTGTGCCATCTCAAAAAGATGAAGTGGCTTCACTAGGAGTCAGCGAGTGAGTGTTGTGTTACAGATTTAGCCGTGGTGAAGAGGGCAGAGTCTGATCTGGTGTCTCATCTGGAGTCTGCAAGATATGTTCTATCTTTAGAGCTGCAGCTTCGACTAAAAACAACTCATTTAAAATAACCGACTCATGACAGGTAGGAGAGAAAATAAAGACCAACTGTAATCTAACAAAATGGGAATGTCACCAATCAACGATGGATTAATAATCCATGATCAGGAAATCTTTTTTGTACACATCTGCAGCCTGCACCACATCAGCCCAGGTGACATCTGAACTGCAGCCTTCAACTTTTCACACGTCTGATCCTGGTCACAAAGATATGTGGTCTGGATGTTTTAGGGGACTGATGGGAGCAAACACAAAGATCTCCTTGTCAACAGCTGCAGATGTTGACAAAGGCCCCTTTGGAATCAGTTAAACTCCAGCATCCTGTGTCTGCAGCTCTGTGTAAATTTGGACAAAACCAGACGAGTAGCTAGTGAGGAACTTAGGTTGTACCAGACATGAGATTTGAACTCGATGTGACCAATCAGAGAGCAGTGTTTGCCTTCCTGTCGTGTTTGTTTCAGTGTTTCCTCACAGAAGTGGCTTAACTTCTGTTCACTGACATTCAAACACAAACTCTAATGTTTGTACAATATGACAAAGCATCATGATGAGGGGAGAACTAAGGCCTACAGCCTTCATCTACAGCTAGCGTCAGGTAACAACATTGTAATGAACAACTACAACATAAGGAGAGAACTAAAGCATAAGTAAGAGCAAAGTCATCAAACAGTTCTGAGGGATGTAATCGATCACAGAGAACACACCAAACAGACGTTAAACCCCTCCGCTCCTCCTGATCCTACAAGTTCTCCCACCTCTCAAAACCATCACCATGACAACCACATTTTACAGAGGACGACACACCTACTAGACACTAGGTTTAAGATTTAGGGAGTAACTTCTGCCTACATTGGAACTGTATCAGCTGGTGAACACCTTAAATGTTAGCAGGGCGTAGCCTCCGTCCTGAATTTGAAATTCTGTTCAACACGGAGCTGCCGACACACACGGCTGGTGTTTCGAGTCGTCACAGGTTTCGGTGAAGTGATGTTATTTTAAAAGTTCTGTTCAAACATGACGTGACACTTTCAGGCTGCATTGCTTTGTCTTGCAGTCTGCTAAACAAGGGGGGGGATGACCCCCTTCCTTTGTCAACACAGCTGGGAAGGAAGAACAGCTGGGAGTTAAAAGATAAAGTCAAACAGTGACAGGTCTGCAGACTCATGAAAGTGTGCAGTTTTCCTCAAATGTCCTTCGAGTTTGTTTTTTCTGTAAAAACGTAATGTGCATCCTACAACCTGCTTCACCATATTCCCTTCATTTTCTATGTATTTTTTTCTTCCTTCTTGTTTGTCATGTTTCTCCAAATTGTATTTATTGAAAAGGGTTATATAACTAAAGTGCATCTTTTTATTATTATATAGCTAGTTCGGCATGCTATTTCACCAATAGAAAATCAGAATACATTGAATAAAAATGCCTTTTTTTGTCTGATACACTTTGGCCACTGAACACTTCAGCCAGAGGAAAACATTACCAATTTATAACAACAATTGTTGAATAAAAGTATAATTTTAAGTTTAAATTAGCTGCTGTTTGAGCCGAATTTACTGCAACACCATGATTCGTAAATGAACTGTCACACTATTCTGAATACAGAAAACATCTCCAATAAAAAAGTAAAATAACAATAAATTATAAAATAAACCAACGGGGTTCGGCCTGTTCTCATCGTACTGGGCAGGGACTACATTAGATCTAAACGACTAGATAACCCTCTTAAATGTTAATGTAACTCAACAATAGAAACATTAACCTAAATGATTTTTATAATCTTGTTATTTTTATGTTACCTGCTCATGTTAGCTTGCTAACCCAAACCTTGTTTGTCAACTGTAACTAAGGTAGCAGCTAGCATGCTAATTAATTAGCATGCTAGCTGACGAAGTAACCAAACACCAGCTACGACAAACGGGAAACCTTATCAGACTATCAGGCTTTCACACGTACTTCTGGTCTCCTGTTGGGTATATACAGCCCCTCTGACTATATTAAAGCTCACCATTTGTGTAGTTTTGTCTCGTCCGAGATAAAAATCCGCTTTTTATGCCTCAGTGTCGCTTGAGGACACTGAATCTACAGCAGCTGCTAATGCTAGTTAGCTAACTAGCTTAGCTGACTAGTCCTCTTACCAGTGAGGTGAACAGCTTAATCCAGCCGGGCGTCGTGTGTTTTCTCTTCTCTTACACCTGCTCACACCTTCTCATAGCTTTGTGGAGACTCGCATATTTCATGAAATTGCAATGATCGACGAAGGAATCCGAAACACAAGCTGCTTTGTGTGTGTTTGCATGGTGGTGGTGCAGCCAGCGGTACGAGCAGCAGGGTGCCAATCAGAGGAGGAGGAGAAGTGAGGAGGGGGTGTGATCCGTATATACTCCCACCCTGCTGCAACACAAGCTTAACAAACATTACCACTGGCTGATGAAGGTCTCTTTAATTGATCAGTGGAGGGCTGCAGGAGCATATTGGGGTTTTAATGTTTTGGCTGCACATGGCAAAAATGTCTGTATAATACCAGACTCTGCTAACCTTGCAACAAGTTTGTGTGAACTGAGTTAATATTGCACATCTGCCTGAAAGTGTAAAGCCCTAAGATAAAACTTGCATCACATTTAAGATGCACCGTGGGTCAAATTCCTGTTTTAAAGCCCTATAATGTTGTATCTTATAAACACTTTTATACTCTGTCAAGCATGCAGGGGAGTGTCCAGACGCCCCTGCGTTTTTATTTTTACAGTCTATGGTCCAGACTTGTATTAAAGGAAGGGATGGGGCTCTGACTTTGCAGGGGTGGCATGCAGTTTGTGTGCAAAGACACAAATAGACAGCCCAACAGATAGATAGATAGATAGATAGATAGATAGATAGATAGATAGATAGATAGATAGATAGATAGATAGATAGATAGATACTATATTCATCCTGAGGGAGATTCACGATTGAAATGCTCTTTCAGTTGAGTTTGCACAGAAGCAACGTGAGTGAGAACTAATTCGTTAATTAATTAGGGTGTATTATTTTGAAGGCCTGTATTTCTCAGTGAACACTGGGTGCTAAATGATGTTGTTTGTGTTCAGAGATTAACACAGAATGATATTTGAGTGAGACCGATTGATCTACTTTTTGCAGTTTGGAGTCATGTTGTTGATACACGAGCTTCAAGTCTTTAGCATTGTGTGCATAGTTCTTATTTTTGTGTATAAAAGGAATAAAAGATGCTCATGTTGAATAAACAGAAAACTGTTTTATAGTAAAGTTCATAGATCTGGTGTTCAAACCGAGCGTCATACAGTGAGTCAGTTCCTCTCTCAGCCACAAGATGCTGCAGATATTCTGTTTACAGTTCAGCCTCTTCTCTAATGTTAGCTTGTTTTAAAAGTTGTGTTGAATTGAATCCTTCAGACGGCAGCACCCGAAGGATTTCTGTAACTCTAAACAAACACAAACAAGAGTGTCTGACAGTTTCTCCTCAAACACACGTCGTGATTCAAAGTGTTGAAGTCAGTTTACTGTGAATCATGTAAACTCAGGGCTGCAAGGAAGTTAAACAAAATCACTTCTAAATATACAAACTGAAGGTCAGAGCTCCTCAGCATGCAGTAACGCAGCGCTTAGCTCCCAAGTACTTCCCAGTACTTAGTAAGTAACCTGGCCCCTCTCCAGCCATCAGACCAACTTCCATATTATGGTCTGCTGGACTTGAACCAGTGACCCTACAGTTTGACCCAAGTCAATCAAGACTGAGCTACTGCTGCTGCCCCAAGGTAGCTGATATTTTAAAGACATATTTTAAACATATTGCATACTGTTTTACTCACTGTTTTGTACAGGTATGCTTCAGTGACAAAGTAGAGCAAGAAAGAATTGGGTTGTAAAAATATTGAATTTAAAGCAGCTGTCACTATCTTTTTGTTTGTGTGGATCTTGGCGCCCCCATGTGGACAAAGTATGCAGTGGGAATTTCCCTTTAAAGCTCTGGTAATCAAGATTTGGTGTTCCTTAAAAAGCCAGAATCTGGATCAGGGTGGTCTTATCCTGATTAAAACACCGGGCCCTGGGTTTAAGGGGTTAAATGACTGCTGTTCATAACAGTAAAGCCAGAATGGAGAGATATATTTACCTCCTAATACTCAGACTGATTGCTTTGTTTCATTAATTTTTCAGTGAGGTAAGGTGCAGGGAGGGGCTTCTCCTCGAGTGACCCCGGCTGATCCTGACACCCACACACACCCAGAGACGTATTCAGCAGGAGAGAATAACCCCGACGTCTCAAAGAGAGATCCAATCTGTGAGCGGCTGACAGAGGACAGCACAGACCTCTCTGTTATTACCATGTGTCAGGGAGCATTAGTGGAGCAGGGAGAGGAGGAGGAAGGGGAGAAGGAACAGGAAGAGGAGAAGGAGGAGGAGGAGGAGGGGGAGGAGGAAGAGGAGGGGGAGGGCTACAGACCCGATGTGTGTCTCAGTCACATCTGCTGCCACCAGAAACGTCCTCCATCCACTCAGGGCTGTCATTATCGGCCCCTGACGGTGTTTGGATGAGGAAGGGGAGGCTTGAGATGCAGGTCTGATGATCCAGATCTTCCTCCCATCCTCTTTGATTTTGTTAAATTGTTGTAACGTGACAGAAGCAGAAGTGCTCTTTACGGCAAAGTCTTCCTTTTTGTCCCTGCTGGGAGGGTCATGTTTGGGTAAAAATAAAACCCCAGAGGTTTGATATAAAATGCAATTAACATAAATCATTTAGCTGAGGACAACAAGCTTGTTAAATCAGATATTTTAAGATTAAGATTAAGATTTACTTTATTGATCTCCGCAGGGGGAAATTCTGGAAATCTTCTCTGGCTTGGAGGACTTTGTCGCCCTGATTTCAGCCTCTCAGGCAGTTTGACCCTCCTAGATTGCACAGCAGTGTTACACTGTGTTTCATGTCACTGTGTTTAGGTTTATTTTAAAGATTTTGAGGTCGGGGTCAGGCCGAGTCTTTGTCTGAATGTGTGTGATTAATGTGGAAACAGCCAACAGTTTTAATCAGGTCTAAGATGTCCCAGTGTTCATCCTGCACACCTCAGCACCAGCAGAACCTGGCAGACAGTAATGACATTCATGGAGCAGCTCCAGTGCTCGCTGACTGATCGGCCCTTCACACAGAGACCCCACTCTCTCTTCATTATCCCCACCCATACCTCAGGGACCTGGACTGGGAGCTCTGATCCAGACTAAATGATGCTGCTCGGAGGCCAGAGACACAGAGAGCGTACAGTTGTTTGATGTTTTTTGTTAGTACCTGCTTTAGCACGACGGATTAAATTTAGCTGTTGTGCTAATTCCGGCATTTTGCATCAAAACACAACAACATCAGAAACCAACGTATACAAATAATAATCAGACTAAAATGAAGAGATTCCAGGGACATTGCTGTGATGAGTCTCACATACCTCTGTATCATTCTGTAATCCTGACATCCCTCTCACCCTCCTCCTCTCGTGGCCTCATCCGGCCTCCTCAGGGGCTCAGCATCATCTGAAGATGAAGCTGCTGCTCTCCACTCGCTCATCACATGACCCGAGGCAGCGAAGGGGTTTGTGATCGGTCAGCTCTCCTCTTCATCCTCCTTCTCCCAGCGCTGACTCAGTGCCGTTTTTTACTTGACGTTTCGGCTCTCGGACAGTCTGTTCACTGCTGGGCTCACACAGACGTGAACAGAGGAGGCACCGTGCCAGTTTGCACTAGCAGCAGCGTCTCTCTGCAGGACTTCATCGTCCTGACGCTGCAGCAGAGATCTCATCCTGCTGAGAGAGAATCATGTTGTTTTCTTGCCACAGGGCCAAGTTTGTGAGTTCACAGCGACCCAGTCAGGGGTCGTTAGAGGAAAAGTGACACGGAGGGCTCAGAGGATCTCAGGGTCTTCAAACACAAGAGGGACTAAATTCTGCTTTAGTTTTATAACAGCTTCTTTCGTCTCGCATCGACTCAAACCTACAAACCATGAGGATAATAGTCAAATATTTCTCATGACCTGGATCATCAACAGACCCTCATGTGTCTCTGAAATGAGGGTCTGGACTGTTTCATTTCAGTTTGATGGGAAAAGGATTGGATAATATTTTGAGGAGTTTGCATTATAAATATGTCATTTGATATCAAGAGTTTCCTACTCTGAATCTACTCTGTTTCTCTGTTGTGCTTTAAAGCATGTAAACTTGGTTCAGAAGATTTTAAAGATGTGGTTAAAAAATGAAATCAAATGAAAACAATCCGTAGGAATTTGGTTTGGTGCATTTTGGCGCCCAACGAGGTGCAACGGCCTCCCCCTCTTAGACATGATGCATTTGTTGACCATCAGTAGACGTGAGGATTTAAAGAACAAAGTGGACCGAAGAGGTCCAGTATTATTACCAGATTTAGATCAAACCTGACTCTGCTGGCATCTACAGCCCGTTGTTTGCTAACTGTTAGCATGTAGAGTATGTGTTTGTGTATTCATCTGTTACCATGACGACAATAAGCTACATTGGAGAGACTAATTTATTACATGCTAGTTGAGATTGGTTGGTAAGGTTCCAAGATGGACGAGGAAAGAGACGACTTTTAGGTGTCAGATGGATTTATTGATTTCTTCGTATCAAGCCTGAGACATGACTCGGGTTAGACGACTTCCTGCAGCCGCTAAAGCTGCTAAACATGAGACAATAAGGACACCGCTAACGATAGAGGCTAACTTTATGTCTCAATGTGTTCTGAATAATATCTGCAGGGATGTACACTCTGCTTCTCTCTCTCTCTTCTTATCATCCTCCATCTCCATCCTCTTCCTCTCAGTCGTTGTATCAAACAGTACAGAGATGGGCTAACTAGCTGCTTTGCAGCTGAAGGCTGCTGTGTGAACTAGCGCCGTAAAGATGAACGCACTTCTCACCAGATTTCCTCGACCCGCTGAGAAAGTTACATAGTGCTGAAAACAGCCGATTGGGCCGGGCTGTGGACACGGGAGAGACGCCATTCTTTCATGTTTAAGGTGGAAAAGTTACATGTTGATGCTTAAGACAGCTCTTTGGGTGTGCAAATGATGAACGTGTCGTATGCAATGGATGATAAAGGATGCCGTAGGATTAAACCCGATTATGTGTAATAATACAAAATGACGGACATAGTGGAAGTTCTCTATGAGACAGAATATAAAAAAAGAACATCATTCAGTCAGACAGAAAACGTTTGTAATGGTTGGAAATGTTTATTGCTCTGGCAGAACACAGTTTGAGTTTGAGCGTCTCAACTCCGACCTCATCGCTCCTCGCCGACTGACCTTTTTGAAGGGATGAGATAACATCCTGAACCCTCCAGTCGGAGCCTACAGGTGGATGTTGGTGTGGTTATGTATTAAAGATGTTCAAAAAAGTCAACATTTAAAACGTTCCTCAGTATTTACTACAGTTTGAATAAGAGCCCTGGGGCAGATTAATTAAATGAAACTCATTGCTTTGGTTCATCATCACTGTCCTTCATTCTGAATGTAAAAAATATTTGTCTTTTCATCTAAGATTTAACAACATCAACAACATCCTTTTATTTGAAATGTCAGCCCAGATCAGTATCATATCAAAGCCGGTCGAGTCGCTCTGCAGGCGTCTGGTTGGCCGATTTGCAGAAGTCAAAGGTTTCATGTTCCACGCTCGAGGTCAGTTTGACGTATCAGAATGTGCACTGGCTGGTTCCTCACTCAGCGAGGTCACTGACGGAGGTCTCAGAGCATCGTGCCAGCCAACGTTCACCTGACGGAGTGAAATAAAGTTCATTATTAACATATTAGCTGTCCACCACACTAAGCACATATCTGTCTCTTAAGCTGCTAAATGCTCAACCTTCCTGTTGTTACAGTCTAAGTGAGAGCTGGAGACAGAGTTTACTGAAATCCAAAACTTTGAGCCAAAAGAGGCTAAAATGACTCAGACATTCTATCAGTCTCCAAGCTAGGGTTTTAAATAGAAGTTGTGTGTGCAAAGTGCAGGAAAAGAAAACTTGAGTGTGTAGCTGTTGGTCTGCCTGAGTCTGGTCTCAGCCTGAGGAGAGACGAGCAGAAATGACACCCCGGCGTCTCTTTGCATCAGATCTCTCCACGCTGTGTTGGTGGATCTGTTTGCATGTCGGCTCAGTAACTGTGTGATAACAAATAACGCTGAAAGGAGCAGTCAGATGTATTTAACTGTCAACAACACTGACATAATTGTATAATCATTCACTGAATATTTAAGATAAAAAGGCCTTCTTTCAACAACCTTTTGAAGTTTTGTTATACGTGTTACCAGGCATGTTGTTATGGTTGGACCTTAAAGGTCACATATTATATAAAATCCACTTCACCATGTTCCTCTAGCTCTAAAATGTTTCACTAGTCCATCTACAAACCCCCCAATGATGAGAAAAGTCCATCCTCTCCGTCTTTTGCCTGCTCCACATTTCAGAAAATGTGTGCTCAAACAGGCCGTTTGGAGATTTTCCCTTCATGACATCACAAAGGGCAGTAACCCCTCCCCCAGGAGGGTGACACTCCCACAGCTAGGTGTTTGTTCTGCCCTCTGAGGCCGTGTTCACACTCGACTTCTTTTTTAGAAAAAAGCGTTGCTTTCAGCGCCTTTTGAGCGCTTATGTGTGAGTGTTCTCTAACCTTAACAACGGGATTTAGCCTACAGTGCAACCGTGCCGGAGCCGGTCGGAGCACGACGCATCAATTTAGCACAGAAAATAAGAAACGGGACGGGAAGTCAGACACCGATACAACATTAAAACATCCGGGTTATTGTCACTCTCCGTTTTGACGGTTCAGAAAAACGGGACGTAGGTTTCTACTCATCCTGATTGGTCAGCTGTCAGAAAGGCGCTTGACATCACCCAGCGCTTTTCTGAAAAGTTAAAATAATTCAACTAAAAAAGGTGTCGGGCGCAGCGCTTTTTAAAGAGGCGTCATCCTTTTTCCTCTTTCCATAGGCTTGTATGTAAAAAAGGCGCAGGCAGTTGAAAAAATAAGTCAAGTGTGAACAGGGCCTGAGTCTGCTCTTCCCCAATCCACTATCAACATAAATGGATATAAATCAGCTCAGGGTTAGCTCGCCGAGACGTTCACAAACAGACAATTATAAATGCACTTTGAACACCTCTTTCCGCTTCAGCTCACTCAAACACACGGGTGTCCCACTCCCACCATAAAGGTGATGCTCCTCTCAAAGCCTAATCCAAACCAATCACAGCAATGTAGCAGCAACCTCCTTCGACATGTTCGTCAATTATGCCAGAGGCTAGCTGAGCTTAAGTGAGGTGTTTGGTGCTTATAGCGAGCCTGATTAGCCAGAGTTATGATGGACATCAACGGAAGCCATGCCAAGAAAGCAGAAAACATGGGAGTGGGAAAGAGAGTTTTAAACAGATATGAAGGAAAAGTATGTATTCCTTCACTGCAGTATTAGCAGTCGTAAGAAGCAGCGTGGCCATCACACTGGGATCACCGGTAACTTACCACAGGACTTTTCTACAGGCAGGACGTAAGAACTGAAAAGGTAACAACACTTCAAAAACAGCAATCTCTGTTCACAAAGACGGGCAACACGGCAATAAAGGCATCATTTTATAGTGGAGCGCATCCTAACAGCACGAGACGCCGTTCACCGACCGTGAGGACCGAGACGTTCTTCAGGGACCGTAAAAGTAAAGACTGAAATAGTGTCCCCTCTTGCTGATGTACAGTTTGGTGCTAACACAGTTACACGAAGAGCCTCTCGATTAGCATTAAAATAACCTCTGTCATACTTTTGTTGCTATGGTTACTTGTACTTACATTAAGGCCGTGAGAGCCGTACAACGGTTGTCTGAGGCCAAGATCACTGAACCCTGTCAGACTGATAGCATGGTGAATGGTATCTGCCTAGAGAGAAAGAAAAGGTGGAAAGAGATTTGTAGCAACAAGGGGGCTGAAAAATAAACACTGAATTCAAAATAACCTGCAGTTCCTCCAGTGTCCACTAAGGTCTGTCTCCTGCAGTGAGTCAGTCCCCTGCAGTGAGTCAGTCCCCATAGAGCCCCATGTTAAAATGTCCAATTTTGCAGCTGCAGTTCCTCCAACAGACTGCCTTTTGTCACCCAGAAAAATGTAATCGTTCTTGTTACAACACACACAGAGCTCCTACCTGTGAAAGTACACCTGCTCCAACTTGAGCCCGGCAGTTAGGGAGCCCATTAACCCTCGGCATGCTGGTGAACATGGAGTTTTTGAGCTTTAAAGAACCTGAGGAGAAGGAGATGGAAGTAGCTGAAACGCTCAAAGATCTGAAAAAACTTGAAGTATCTAAAATTATTATCTGACTACAGCGAGCACATCTCAGAGGCTCAGCCCTCTGGGAATACGAGTTATAGATCCTTTTTACACCTTTCCTCTACCTGAGGATTTTGTGTCTGGAGAGACGTCAGCCACAGTCTGAGCTACTGACACCGCCGTCTTGGCTGCGTACAGATTCGCCTCCTCCTGAAACTTCCCGATGTTCTTCTTATATCTGATCCTCTTGTTTCCGAACCAGTTAGAAACCTGGAGAGCAAACAGAGAACAAGTGTATTCTCATCACATGTTTACCTCTGTTTCTTTTCCAACATAGTGTAACACATATTGAGAGTGTATTCTTTGTGTGGGAGTGTTTCAGGTCGAACACACACACACACACACACACACACACACACACACAACGAGCAGCTGAGGACAGACGGTAACAACCTACGACAGCTTAAAGTTCACTGGCCACTGTGTGTGTGTGTGTGTGTGTGTGTGTGTGTGTGTGTGTGGAAGCATGTATGCCGGGCTGTGACCTTTGTGTGTGTGCAGTGACATTTACTCCCTGATATTACATTTCCTCCGCTGCCTCTTTTTGTTTTAGGGAACAGTTATCGCTAATTAGCAGGTACATCCTCTTTGAAAGCAAAATGACTCCTCTTTATGAACCCGACACTCCGGCCTTCGGTATCAGAGAGAGTGCGGAGGTAAAGAGGGATGTTAAGTTTAATGAATTAATCCTCTCTGCTGTATTCCTTCATCCTTATCTGACCCTGATGGAGCAGCAGTCTGACTGAGGGTAAATGGTAAATGGATTTGAGCTTGTACACCTCAGGTCACACCTACACATTCACACACTGATGGTAGAGGCTGCTGGGTAATGATGTCCATCAGAACTAACTAATCCCACTCATACACATTCATACGCTGCCGAAGAAGCAGCGGGAGCAACTTGGGGTTAAAGGTCTTGCTCAATGACATGTCAGACATGTGGCTGCAGGATGTCTCTCAACCTTCAGGTTGTCAGACACTACCAATGGAGCCACAGCTTTACTACAAACTGAATAAAGATTGAACAGCACTACATCCCCTCAAAAAAATGTAAACTCCCTCTGCTGACCGGAGCATGCCATTTTATGTTTGAGTCGTCTTAATTTGGAAACTTTTCTTTGCGATGAGTTATTTTTTGATGCTATACAACGCTCTCTACTCATTGAAAACAAATGAAAAAAAACGCTGGCGCTCAGAATGGCAGAGGCTAGATGGACACGGAGCTTCCCACCAGAGCCATTGAACTTCATATAATCGTGAGTGTTTGCTTCAAATCGACAGAAGAGTCTGTTCTGCTGTGGACTGAACCCACCTGAGCGACCTCTGACCTTTTATCAGGAAGTTAAAAGTGTGTTTCTGAACCAGGTTGATATTTATACACGTTTATACTCTGGCTGCAAATTCACAATATGTCGGTGCCTGTAGGGGGTGATATTCTGGCTTCATCCTGTTTGAGGAGGCTGAGGCACTCTGTCCTTTTGTATATACAGTCTACGGAGTGTATTGATGAATCTGTGGCGCTGTCCGTGGTGCTGAAGTGTCTTTATCTATGGTCTTCGCTCATCGTCCCGAGGATAAATGAGTCTATACTCTACACCAGTGAGACTTCGGTTTATCAGAGTTATCTTTAAGGAAGGCCAGCGGTCGTTCAGTCGGGTCATTCGTGAAAACAACAACATCACATGAGGAGGGAGAAAAGAGACGTACCTGAGACACTGTGATGCAGCTCCCCCCACCCTGAGGGCAGAAAAGAATATACAACATGTAACCCCCTGCATCTGATACTGATCAGGGACACACCTGGGCTACACCTGTGATTCTGAAACTAAAACAATGTAAAACATCTTATCAAACATTTAAAGCAGCCTCGAGGAGGTGAGCAGAGATTGTGGTGTTTTTTTTTAAAGTGTGATAATGTCTTCTTTGAGTACTGTGGCTCCTCATGGCTGACACGGTGACACAGTTTATTTATTTCTCACCTGTGAAACGGAGATGCTGCACTTTTTAGCGAGCTCCTCTTTGGCCTCCTCACTGGGGTACGGGTTGCTCAGGTGTGAGTAAAAATATTCATTCAGGATTTCTGTGGCCTGTTTGCTAAAGTTTCGCCTTTTTCGTCTGGGAGAGAAAAAGAGATTTTAGAAGATTCCAGTTTTAGAAAATAAACATAGATTTTTGTGCTGGAAATTGAATTGAATTTTTAGATAAACACGGTTGAAAACTGCGTCTGCTCACTCACCTGGCATCGAGGAACCTTGAGCGCAGGATCATGACGGCCTCACAGGTGCTCTGTTTGAGCTGCACCTGGATGGAGCTGAACTTTCTGTGGATGATCTTCACCATGCGCTCGATCTCTCGAGGTGAGATGGGTCGAGTCCGAGACTGCTCCCTCAGCAGGTTCATCACATGGGCGGTGAACTCACTGCACGCCTGTTACATATCGGAGACGCAGAGAGAAATGCACAGGGCTGAAGGACTATTTTACATAGCTGTGTCCTGATGCATGCCAAAAAGTTCCATAAATATAAAGACTTGATTCTTTTGTTTGGTTCTTTTTTACTCACCTGTTCATATTTCTCCAGCTCTGTGTGATAGATCTGTCTGATCTGTGTCAGCTTGGCTCTGTAGTCGACGTGTTCAATGGAGTTATCAGTCGCTCCGCCCGCCGCAGCCAGCGCTGCTCCACCGTCCTTGTCCGGTCCCGACACCCCCTCTGCCAGCAGCATGTTGTCCAGTCGGATCAGCTGAGCGTCTGGAGGCTCTTCTTCATGCACCCCGCGGATACTCAGACCTGACAACAAACACACACGCATAGAACAACACAAACAGCAGGATGTTACTGTGTGAAGTGATCGGTGCAAACTCAAACTCAGGTTCAGTCACAGAAATTGTTCAAGGTTCAAGGTCATCAAATCATCCCTGAGGGGCAATTTGCTTCACAGCCAGCAGAAAATGAAACAAGAAACACACACATCAAGGGGGGAAGGGTTCACATGATGCTGCTGAAGAGACCAATGCTACCAGGGACAGATGAGGTTTTAAAATCTGTTGGTCCTGCGTGTAGGCAGAGTATATCTGGGACCGGATGGCAGCAGAGTGCAGTCACCAGGGAGAGCCCGAGCTTTCTTTGTGGCTCTGGCTCGGTATAAAAAAGGCATAATCATTCAAACTAGTGCCAGCTATTTAACTGCACATTCTCATGACCTGTTCTTACCTCTTCCTATTTTTCAGACAAAGAGACCCAAACCAGCAGATAAAAGAGAAGACTCAATTAAACAAGAATAAAACATTTTCATAAAAACACGGTCAACGTTTAAATCCCTCAGGTTTCTATCAAAATGATTAAATGAAAGCAGTGAGGGACACATTATTATTATGCTAAAAAATGCAGAAACATATATCTGATTGATTTTATTCTAAAGCCTGATCCATGTCTTAACTGTTAACATGGAGGAGGCGGGGCTTAGGAACCTATACTGCAGCCAGTCAGCAGGGGGAGCTCTAAATCATTTGACTTCTCTATACGCGGTGTAGTCTGCTTTCCATTTTTATATCGTCTCTGTGCTCGATAGAAAGAGAGGAAAATAATGGGGCATGTGGAGAAAACAAAACACAAAAGGCCTATACTCTGCACCTTCAGGAAACACACACACACACACACACACACACACACACACACACACACACACACACACACACACACAGGTGGAGGATGGTGTGGCAGGTGGTCTGCAGCTTGTCTCTTTCAATAACTGCTGGCTCGTGAGCAGAAAGAGCTGCTGATTGTGTCTGAGACCTCTCCGCCTCATTGGAAAGGACAGAATGATTACACACACACACACACACACACACACACACACACACACACACACACACACACACACACACACACACAGAGAGCAGAGGTGTGTCAGCCTCTAAACACAAAAAGCACAACAACAAAAACAGCCAGTCTGCTCTCTTCTGCAGTTTGCAGCAGAAAACACAGATTCTCTGAAAACCGACAGGGTTGTGACTAAAATTCTGCAATATTATTATCGCAACTTGATTGATTTTGATTGGTCAGTGAGGGATAAGTGACATTGATGGGTGTGGCGCTGTTCTGAAAGTCAAACCTTTTTCAACTAAGTGGAAAAAACGCTGACGCTTAGCACTGAAAACGCTGAACTCCATTGGTTTTGCATTGAAAGGGGCCCTGCCAGCAAAAAAAAAAAAAAAACACTGTCTGTGGACACAGGTCCTAAGAGTTATTCATATTAAGGGGCGTGGCTGATCTGACTGACGGGAGGGCGTCTTGTAGCTGTTCGTCAGGAGGCTTAAGGCCGCTTCAGCTCCACCGCATTGCCTGTTAGGTTGACCGAAAGTTAGTTTGAGACATTTCCAATAAGGCGATCGCCACCGACGGGCTTCGATTCTCCTCTCCAAATACACAAAAGGTGATGTCACTGAGACACTGCCATGCTTTATACAGTCTATGATCTTCTTCCTATTTGTTAATCTGATGGGAATGTCGACCCCTGTGCAGGACTAGCAATTTTTATATCCCCCGCCATTATCTGTAGGCCTTACTGCAAAACCACGAGGTCAGGTGGAACCTGTGTGTGTGTGTGTGTGTGTGTGTGTGTGTGTGTGTTGAGCTTAGTGTGTGAGTCCAGATGGATGATGTCGGCCGGCCTGTTGCTTTAATGCATACATTTAACCACCGAGGGACGGTGCTTTTAATAAAAACCCAGAATTCATTTACTGCCGACCCTCTCAATACGGTCCACACACTCCTAGATTCACACACACACACACACACACACACACACACACACACACACACACACACACACACACGCTTTGATGAAGTGAGGAACCTTCAGGACTCCAGCATCAAACACCAAAAACCTAAAGAGTGTTCTGCTGCAGGGGGGTAAGAACGATAAGGTGGGGCAAACATTAATAAACGTGGATAACTGACTCACAGCACTGCAAAAAAATACGCAGCAATCCACCCTCTAAATCACAGCAGCAACATTTCCAAGTATAATTTAATCTTTTTACAGCCCAACCCAAATGCTGACTCTGTCCCGGTGAAATAACAGCAGAGGGAAGGAGTGGAATTATTCTCTGGATAAAAGACTGAGGGAGACATCGCTGTGAAGTAGACTCAACCTCCTTAAATACATATTTCATGTTTGTCCTGCTCACACACAGGCAGGTTTTATTCTCTCTAAAGCTCCTCTGTTTCATCAGGTGCTCAATGGAAACGATGCAGGCGATCCTGGGTGTCACGCCAGAATTAAATGTGATGAATAAAATTGGTAATCAAAGGGAGAAAAGCGTGTGGACAGTTACAGATGACACGGTGTTCAGTAGGTGTGTGGAGCGTGCACGACCAGCCAGCAGCGTGGGGAGAGAAAGGCGCAGGTGACATAGAGAACGAGAAAAGTGAAGCAGAGAGGAAGACGCTTTGGAGGAAGGGCAGTGAAGTGCGGGAATATTTACAAATAAGTTGATGAGCACAAGAAGGTCAGTGTATTAAAGGTACCAGCTTCTCAAGTGATGGATTTAAAGACACTCTCTTTTATCTTTAAGCTCAGGTGAGATCTCTACAAACACAACTGAATCAACGTTCACTCAGCACAGAGGGGCTTCATGTCGCTCCAAACTTGTTAGAGAGTTGATGTTCGAAAAAAAATGAGAAATGACCGACCTGTTTTCTCTTTGATTTCACAGAGGACAGTGAAGAGAGCCGGCTTCATCCTGTGACAGTTCAACCCGTGTTTCCTGCAAAAACACAAATATCAGAGACACCACTGAAGCCTTTGATGTATCAGTTTGATTCTCATACAGGGGACAGAGAATGCAAATACACAAGACAGTCTCAGCATTTATATCAACATCTATAAGGCAGCATGATGATGTGAAACAGAAGGTGTTGTTGTTGTTTTTGCTCTTTACAAATACGAACAAATATTTCACTCTGACAGATCACAAACTGTCACTGCTGCAGGAAGGTCTTTTTATGTTTATGTGGAAGTGTTACATGTTTTGTATGATTTCTATTTATGTACTTTTTAATTCTCTTGCTACTGCAGGACACAGTCCACGACACATTACACTTCAAGGACAATAAAGTTTATCTCGTCTCATCTCTTCCTAGCTTATCTTGACTCGTCTCATCTCATTTCATCTCATCTCATCTTATCTTATCTTATCTCGTAAAGCTTTGGGGCTCTTCACCTCTTCACACTTGTCTCGTATCATCTCATCTTATTTTATCTCATCTTATGTTATCTCACAAAGCTTTGGGGCTCTTTGAAGATGAAGAATTGTAAGATGTTTAGGAATTAATCAGAAAAATTCTGATTGTGATAAATAATAAAGATGCATTCAGGAGTTAAAGACAAATGTGTTTCCTTAAAGGTCTGAATTAAACAGTTATATCAGTAACATCTGCAGAGGACGACATGCAGTCGGAATAAATCGAGGAACACTAAAAACACGAGTTCTGTGAAATCCTAAGCAACATTTTTATACATTTTTTTGACCAAAACACAAACTTTAGGATAATGAAAATAACTGATAGCTGAAACAACAATGAAGATAATCTGTTACTGCAGACCTATAAGAATAAATGCATGAATAAACAGATATCTAAAGGGATTTATATTTCAGGGCTCTAATAGAATTCTTCCAGGTTTTCAGAAACACTTGAAAGCATTATGGAGAATATTTGTCTTTATTCATTGAGTTGGGTATTAATTGTTTTATCACTAATGCATCATAATTCAGGTGCATAAAAAATCCCAAATTCACCTCATCGTTTATCACTGTCACAGCTTGCACTTTTTATATGTGATGATTTTGTCAAAGATAATTCTGGTTAAAAGATCATACAGTATGTGAAAACTCTTGATAAAAACACTCAATGTAAGAGAAGATTTCATATACAGCAGAAAGCTTTCATTTGTGAGAATTTCAGATTATCATTCCACTTTGAATAACGTTCAATTTGTGAGCTAAGATTTCAGAATATTTAAATTCAAAGAGCTCATATCGCTCTATCTGCTTAACAGTTTGCATCAATTCTAAATAATAAATAAAAGAAGAAGAAGACGAACTTTGCCTGCGCCTCCTCCAGACTCTGCTCCGTGATGGTCATGATCTGATGTAGAACACTCCCGGTCTCCTGCTTCCTCTCCTCCTGGTCTGATCCGTCCTGGATGTGAAGCAGCGGCACCGAGAGACCGTACAGAGTCACCCCGCTCAGAGCCTCCATCAACGGACTCTGATCCACCATGACCGCCTCTGCAGAAATCAAATCTGAACTTAAATCCAGCAGAGAGGGAGCAGCTGGAGTCCACACAGAGAGACGGCACAGAGCGGAGTGAGTCTCCCTGGGGATGCGCTCTGTTATTTATCCGCCTGCACGCTGAATGAGGCTGCTCTCCTCTCTGTGCACAGACTCTATAAGAACTGCTCAGCTGAGTCTCATGCATCCCTAATCTGATGGCTTCACAACCCCCACAGTCCTGAACCAGCAGTGATGATGCTGCTGTCAACAAACAAGGCTACTTTACAAAGTTTGAATCACAATTACAGAGAAAACATCTGGATTTAATGAGCTGTCACTGTTATAGTTAATATTCATTCATTTATTACAGTTGATGAGCAATTCAGGTAGTGACCACAAGACAGAGGACCAGCTCTTTACCCTCACAGGGCCCCTTGGGGGAGCTTGTCAAGTCTACATGTGCTTTTTGGAATTGGAGATTCTGAGCTTGCTGAAGGATTTTAAATCTCATCTAGCCTGGGAATGCCTCAGAATCCCCTCAGGTGGATAGATGGATGGACGGTCGGACGGATGGATGGATGGTTGGATGGAGTGATGGATTGATGGAGTGATGATGGATGGATGGAAGGCTGGACAGATGGTTGAATGATCGATGGATGGATGGATGATGGACAGACAGACAGACGGATGGATGGATGGATAGACAGATGGATGGATGGGCGGTTGGATGGATGGATAGATTGATGGGTTGATGGATGGATTGAGGAGACAGGAGAAGCTGAATGGCTATAAGACACTTTGCTGTTGACTAGGTCATGTCCCACAGTCGTGAGAGAATTTGCTGACAGGTTATCCTTCCTTACTTTTATCATCTCCTGTAGTCTCCTGTAAATAACCAGGCTGTTGAGGCTGTGCAGTATAAGAACCTGAGTACCATCATTGATGATAAACTGACCCACGAGCTTCAAGCTGACGTTGTTTGTAAAAAAGCTAATCACAGCGTGGGCACTTTTTCAGAAAGCTTCAGCGCTTTAATGTTGACTGCACTTTAAAGGTAATCTGTTTTAACTCTATCCTTGGTCACTATATTATATATATTGTTAAAATATGTGGGGGGGAAAATGCAGGTTTGACCCTTACTGACCTTTTGACACCTGAAGTAAGGACTTTAAAGAAGGTCCAGTCCATCCTGGCTGATCATCCTTTGTTCAAAGAGTTGAAGCTTCTTCTGTCTGGCTGCAGATTCAGCTGATGCCAGTATGCAGGAAAAAGACACTAGCCTTATTTTTCCCTGTCTGATTGTGTGTTTCTATTTTATAAACTATTATATTGATTGTTCATTGGACTTGTACTCCTTAGTGTACTTGCTGGTTGGATGAATGTATGTTTTTACTGCAGATTGCAAAAACAAATTGCCCTCTCACAGGGATAATAAAGACAACCTTGAACCTAAACATAATGGCAAAATGTAATACTACGGAACCACTCGTAATGATGATTAAAAAAATAATAATGAATAAATCATATTAATTGTATTTTTAGCATTTTTCAAAAACAAGCTACAAAGTGCTCTACAATTTAAAAAAGACAAATAGTAAAAACAAACACACAAATAATCAATTTCCTAATCGTCGTTTATTCCGAAGAGATGAACCGGAAGTAGACCTTACTGTTTCCTGTAGGCTGGGCTCAGCGGTTAGCTTCGACTTGTTGTGTTATGATGTTGCTTTAGTGCTTCATTACTCATGAACAGAGTTACTGTCAGGACCGGGAGGATGTACGGATAAAATGGGACAACGTGGAGATATCGTCTCATCACCGGATGTGACTTCTGAAGGTTTGACGCCGTCACGAGCTCACGTTGACTACTTAGGGAGGCTAGCCTAGCAGCTAAGCTAATCGCTGCTAGCTGCCCAATAAAGGGCTTCAGAGATGTTAGCTTTAACGAGCTAACGAGCTAAGTAGATTAAACCAATGCTGTGACACTCTTTAGTTGTTGTGATTAATGTCTGAACATTAAGTTTGAGGCTTGTTGCTTATGTTAGGAGTTGAGGAACGACTTAGCTTTAATGCAGAAGGTTTAAGTTAGCCTGTGAGCTAGCGAGGTTCAGAAGAGCTAAGACACAATAGCTAGCAGCAGCAGCTAACGTCAAAGTAGCCACCGGGAATCATGACTGGTTCATTTAGATGAAGGGTAAAGGCAGGTGTTTAAAGGTGTCACTGAAAGCACAAATAAAGACTGTTCTTTTAGTCAAACAAACTGTGACATGACTTGTGTTTAGCAGTTAGCACTCAGAAGCTTTGAGAGTAAAGTGTTTTATGAAAGACATGAAACACACAAGATGAATGTCATTAATGTATTATCTTATGATGATGATGATGATGATGATGTGTGTTTCCCAAAGCCAGGTGACAGTTCCCACACATTTAGTCCAGGAGACTCAGTTGTCTGTTTTTTAGTTGCTTGATATGATCATCATTGTGATTCAAGCAGCAATCTCTCAGCTTGTAGTGTGAGCTGTGAGAAATAAAGAATCCAGGTCAGGGCCAAAAGATAAGTCTGGACTTCTTTCCAGCAGTCGTAATTCCTCCGTGGATACACTTCCAAAAATAGCACTACAAGAAATGTGTAGAAACTTGATTTCACACAAGAAAGACTCAGGATCCCTCTGAACACAAACTGCATCATCGAGGACACTTTGTTCACAGAGAAACACTGGCCCTCAAAATAAAACACCCTGATGACCCTTTAGTCACGTGTCAGAGCCGTAGACTTTATATATTAATGGATGAAGCCTGAGTGACGTCACCCACCTGTTCCTGCAGGGGGCTTTGGGTCCATGCTGGAAATGCTGTCTCACCCTAACTTTCAGTCGACCTAACGACAGGCAGTGTGTGCCGATCAGGAGATGAGCTGATCAGACCTATTTGGTTTTATGAATCAGGCTGTCAGTGTTGTAGTAATCGAGATCAGTCCTGGTCTCAAGACCAGTCTCAAGGCCACTAAGGGTCTCAGTCTAGTCTTGGAATCACAAGCATTTTTACTCGGTCTCGGACTGCGCAGACTTTAAATTTTACATTAAGACCACCACTGATAGGCTTATTTTTCCTGTCATTGCTGTGGTTAGAAGGAGAAACATCCCTTTTCTAAAACAACAAATCATTTCAGTTAATTTGTAGTTTGGTTCCTGGTGTTACGGTCTAATTTAGTGACACGCCGCCTGCACACAAGATGATTTTTCTGTGACATTTATGGTCTTGGTCTCGTGTCAGTTTCGTCCTGCCTCGGTCTTGGTCTTGCCTCGGCCTCAATTCCTAAATGTCTTGGTCTTGGTCTCGGTCAGTGTGGTCTTGACTACAACATTACTCTAATGTGCCTCATCATCCTGCATTCAGCTAACTCAGGTCTCCCGTCAAGCTAATATAACACTGTGGGTTTGGATTATTTTGCCCTGACTCACTGCTTTCCTGTCACTGTTTAAATTACCAACAGCTTTGTGTTCACAGTGTCAACACTCAGGACAGTCTGCCTTGTGTTTTGTAAGAGGACATGTATTTACTGGTCAACACAGTGATGGCTAACACTCACTTAAGGAGCCACTGACATAAGTCTGCATTGGACAAACACAGAATCACGTCATTTGGTTGTCCCATGGCACTCTTGATCCAACGGGTTAATGGGATGATTTCTAAAAGAGGTGGGGGGCATGAATAGTCTTTTTCCTGTACAGTATGTCATTAACTCACAGAACAGCTTCACTCTGTAATGATCATAGGGCCTGTTCCTGTACTTTAGGCAGATCGTTCTCAAGACTGTAATCTCTATAAACAAATACCTGCATTATATGAATGTTAAATAATATAGCTTGGATTCTCACTCTTCTCACTCACACCCTTCACTCTCACAACATTTAAAAGACATCGCTTGCCTGTAACGCTGCAAAAGGAAGATGTGTAGTACCAAAACATACTGAATTTTAGAACTGTAAATTGTTTCAACCCTGAAGCTTTAAGGTTAATCATGTCCAGACAGCTTGATTTGTAGTAACTGGTGTCTTTCTTCAAACAGGTACTTGCTTTTCTCCTGCCTCGGATCGGAGAGAATAACAGAGAGAAGGAGATGGAAACGATGACTGCTCTCCACTCGTCATCAGCCTCCACTTTAACGCTCTCAGAGAGATACTGAAGGACGAGACGGGTCCGCTGGCTTTCAGGAAAGATTGTGAGAGAAGGAGAAAGCACCCACAGCTATAAGCCACGCCTCACAAAGCAGAGGAAATGGCTTTCTTGGACAATCCAGCCATTATCCTGGCCCACATCAGACAGTCTCATGTGACCAGCGACGACACGGGGATGTGTGAGATGGTCCTGATCGACCAGGATGTGGATCTGGAGAAGTGCCAGCTGGCTCTGGTGCCCGGCAGCAGCTGTGGGTCGACAGGTTCGGGTTCTCTGAGCGAGGGGGGGACCAGTGTGACGGACAATCACGCCTGTGACCTCTCCCAGTCCATGGACATCACCTCTAGCTGGGACTTTGGTATCCGGCGGCGCTCAAACACAGGTACATATCTTCACCATGTCTGCAGGATGTGGCTGTTAGCAGGTCAGACTCTCTGCGCCCCCTATTGACCACAGGGGTCCAGCAGAGAGCCTGACTTGCTGCTATGTTTTGGGGGGGTTGTGGTCTAATCTGGGCTAACGGTAAAGTGAGGCTCAAGTCAAATTGTTTGCTAATGATGGTTGTTGCACAATGAAGTGGGTTGAGATTGTCACATCTCACTGTGTACTTTTACTGATTTCTCTGAGGTGAGTAACGGATCAAACTAACAAAGATAATTTTTTGGGGTTTTATACTTTGCAAATCAAGTGTCAGATAGTTGTTGTCACTGTGACGTTATGAAGACATAAAGACATCTTTAAGAACTTTGTGTAAGTCAGTGGTCGTTGCAAAGAAATACTTTTTGGACCTTTTTTTTGACAGACGGGCAACCTGAGTCTGCTGCTCAGAGCAGTCGGATGATTTTCTGCCATGTTTGAATTTTTGGTTCGTTCGACTGCACATACTCAAACAGTCATGAGCTGAATCCCCGACTTCAGGGCTTTTTGTTCCTGATTGCCCCTGCACAAACTGACAAATCTCCATGGCAACAGATGCCATGTCTGATTGATAGGCTCTCGCCCTCCTGTCATGAAAGATCTGTTGTTTCAGACCTCCAGCTGTCAGGAAATATTTGTCATGATTTGGCTGCTAATTATCTTGTTTTTTTTATTCTGTTTGTGTGAGAGAGAGAGAGTTTGACACTGTTTAATTAAGCATTTGGGAATCTGAGACGACTGAAACACACAAAGATCTGGCTACAACTTTGGGATTATTCAAAGGAAGTATTATGGAAAATAGTCAAGTCTTGCAACATGTGTCAAACATGCATCACGTCTGCATGTTTGAGTGCAGTAGTGATGAGAGATTCTGCTCCGGAGATTCTCCTGACCTGGTTGTTCACACATGCTCCTCACAGCGGGAGACTAACCCTGTCAGACTGGTGAATTCTCCTGATTATATCCTGCTGCGTTCTCACATCAGCTCACTCTGACTTTCTGCAGAATAAATACGAGGAGGCTGGAGGAGAAACTCCGGGTGAAGTCAGAGTATAAAATGTGTCTGTTTGCGTTCACACATGCAGCTCCTCCTGGAAATATCCTGAGTTTTCTGCAGGTGTGAAAGCACTGCAAGTCTCAATTTGTTTGTTGCCTAATCAACATGAGTTCATGAATCGTGTCGTCTAATGAAAAGTTTGTCTGTGGGTGGAAAACATGATTTGGTTTGAATCAAATGAAAATCATCATCATCATTTGAGCTCTGCTCAGGTGTTTTAAAAGGTAGATGTGTTTTCTGGTGACAGAGGGAGTCCAAAGGTAGACTGTAGTCTCCTTTAGTCTCTCTTGGTTTTAGTACTGAGTTTGGTGGAGTCCTGGTCCTGGTCCTGGTTCTGGTTCTGGGTTGTGGGTAGATTTCAGCCCTGAGCTCTGACCATGTGGTGGCTGTTCTCATCAGGAGACGAACAAGAGAGCCGAGAGAAACCGGGAGCTGCTGGTAAGAGAAGAGGGGTGAAAAACATGTTTTAAATAAAGTGTGTGTGTGAGAGAGATTGTCTTTAGAGAGCGGCTGCAGACATAAATATAATCTAACGACAGATCAGTGTGTTTCCAGGAGAACATTGGCATGTATTAGACCCAGTGTGAAGTGTTCTGTCTCTGTTTTCTCCTGCTGGACTCTACAGTATAAAGATGTGTTCTGCTTTATGAGTTTTTCTTGTTGTCATGGATTTAAAACTTTTTTTTCTCTTTTCAGCCCAAAGACTTGAACGTTTAAGGAAGGAGCGGCAGAACCAAATCAAATGTAAAAACGTTCAGTGGAAAGAGAGATCGTCCTCCCAATCAGGTACCTACTTTCTCCTCTTACTTTAAAAAAACAACTTTTAACACCTAGAAATAGTAAATCTGTGCTGAGTGGGGGGTCGTAAGCTTTTTGTTAATATTAGTTTTTTCTATATATATGAGCTGTGCTTTATTATCTCAATTATTTTAGTTTGTGAGCAAACATCTTACCATGTTTTCACATTAGGCTCGATTCCTTCCCCCCTCCCCCGCTGGTCTGTGTTCACATTAGTAACATCGTTCTGTACCCAAGTAAACTTGCGTATGTACACAGTCCGATACAGCAGGGGGCAGCATGCACATAGTTTGTTTGCAAATCCCTGCGACGACACGGGGGATGTGTGTACCCTGATATGGGCCCGCGTTCCTAAAGTAACCACCCTTAATATGCTCATCTTTACTCTGTTCCCATTCTATTCTCTTATCCACACACGCTCACACACACGCACACCTCCTCTCCTTCCTCCTCTCTCCTTCCTCCTCACATTGCTACTCCCCTTCTTCCTGTCCTTCTTCCTCTCCTTCCTCTCCTTCCTCCTCTCTTTCCTCCTCATCTCTTTCCTCCTCTCTTTCCTCCTCATCTCTTTCCTCCTCTCCTTCTTCCTCTCTCCTTCCTCCTTTCTCCCCTCCTTCCTCCTCTCTCTTCTCTCTTTCCTCCTTCCGTATCTCCTCCTCTCCTTCCTTACAGCAGCTTGTCTCACCTTACCTCATTCCGTCGTTTTGTTTATTGTGTGTTTCTGACAATATAAACCAGCACTTTGTTAGTGACGCTCAATAACATTACTCGCATATTTAAATGTTTAAACTTCTCCAAGAAGGAGATAAGACCTTTTAACAGAATCCAGATTTCAGTGTGTTCCTTCAGAAAGACTCAAGTTTCTATCTGCTTCTGTGTGTCCAGTGGAGGATCTGGGGATACTGTTTGAAAAACGGGACTTAAAGGACCGACCACGGACATCCGGAACCAAATCCACCCTCTCCCTGCGGCTGGAGCAGTGTCCCCAGCAGCTCAACAACCCCTTCAACGAATACTCCAAATTTGACGGGAAGGTGAGATATCTCATGCTTTGCTTCTTTTTTTTAAATATCAGGATTCTTACTCATCCTTTTAAATATTTTAAGACCACATTACTTATTGGAACAAACAGTTTTCGTAAAGCGCCCGACCTCTCTTCAAAGACGTCACACTCCTTTTAAAAGAACAGTAACCTTAACCCCCTAATGAGCAAACTTCTCCTGGAAACAGATCACTGTCTTTTCATTCACTGACCCTTTGTCTGCAGATAATATCTTTAGATCCTTAAAGGTGGAGTCAGTAGAAATGTTCAAACTTGGCCCCTCCCCCTCCCGGGCTTATCACCCCCAGAAGCTCCGCCCCCTGCAGGAAGTAGTGTGTACGTTTACTGCTTGTACCTAAACTGCAAGCTAATGCACGCTAGCACAAGCTAACCACCGGTGTTTGTCACCTGCCTGTCCAACAGGAAGTAGACCAACTCCACGTCCACGGGTAAAAGACAACACAAGGTTCACCCTCCTTTTAGAACGAGCTTTATCCACTTAGTGTTTCTCCACACTATGATTATATTTTCTCTTCTTTGCCGCTACGTCCACGTCCCTCATATTTAGTAGTTTGAATCACGTCCAATCACTGAATTGTATCCACTGCTAAACTCACCTGCTGCGCTGTCATTGGCTGGAGGAAACACACCAGCTCCCCGCCCAGAAACGTCCCGAGTCAACCAGAACAAAGCAGAACAGGAAAATCCAGTCAGAGGACAGAGTCTCTGCAGACACAGACACCACCACACATGTATGGAGGCCCAGAAGGGACGATGGAGCAGCTTCACTTTAGGAGAAGTCTGTATTTTATTTTGAAGGAGACAGGATACTGACTCTTTCTTTAACAGTAAATTCTGATGCAAGGGTATCGATCTGTTGTTCACCAGGCATCAGGTTGAGAGAGTCAATAAAACCATATCAGCGTAGAAGACTTCTGCTGTTCGATTAACTCTGGATTAAGTTTGTTAGGATGTTATCGTTTGGGTAAATGTTGCCTCTTCTTGAGTTTGTTTCGTTTTTTTTCTGTGCTCCGAGTTTTCAGCGTTCCTCGTCTGCATGATGTCTTTATCTCCGTCTCTTCACCTTTCAGGGCCACATCGGCACGACGGCCACCAAGAAGATCGACGTCTACCTCTCCATGCAGATGGCTCAGGAGAAACTCCATCCCATGACCGTGGTGACCATCGCCAACGCCCGCGTCCACGACCTCATCGGACTCATCTGCTGGCAGTATACGGGCGAGGGGCGAGAACCCAAACTCAAGTCAGTATATAAACAACTCAGCGCCACTTTCACACCACGTGAAAGTCCATATAACAGTCTTATTTCTTCCTGCTCCACAGCGAGAATGTGAACGCGTACTGCCTCCACATCGCAGAGGACGACGGCGAGGTGGACACAGACTTTCCTCCTCTGGACTCCAACGAGCCGATCCACAAGTTTGGCTTCAGCACGCTGGCTCTGGTGGAGAAATACTCGTCGCCGGGTCTCGCCTCCAGACAGTCACTGTTTGTCAGAATGTGAGTTCAGATAAGGAACATGTTTGTTAACCCGCTTGTTGTGGTTACGTTCAGCATCACGCTTCAAACAGCGTGCACCGCCGGGGGTTTGACCTTTAAATCCATCAGGACTGCACAGATGTTTTACAAGCTTGGATTTGTTGTTAAGCGTTTGAAATCAGGGAATCAAACTACAAATGTTTCCTCGGATAAAAGAATAAAATGATTTATTGGAATTAAAGAGGCAGGGAAGTACGATTTAAAATGAGATTAATAGATGGATCGTTTCAGCTAATCAGAATCAAGTATTAAACACAGCCATGTTGTAATGAAAGAAAAATCTGCATTCAATTCAAATTGGTTGAAAACCACAATATATCATTCCTCCACCAGGGGGCTGTCAATGAAAAACAATAACAAAAGATGACATCGAGGCTGGCGGGGAATCATGGGAGTGATTCTCTCTGCTACTCGTAACCCACCCCTGATGAAACGAACTCTGAGTTGACCGTAGTCATGACAACGGGGTGAAACCGACCTGAGGAAGAGAATATGTTTACAGACAAGCTAATGTATCCGAGTATAGCACATACAGTAACAGTACAGCAGCTTTCAGTAGCAGCTCACGCTTCCTTATGCAGCGGACTTTGACTTAACATCCGGTGTTTCCACGGCAACGATAAACATGTCGTGCCTGTCATGGCGGCCACCACAAAAGTCATAGTCTGTTACAACTCTAAAATGAATACATTTAGATATTTTAATGTAAACATTGTGGTCAAATTCTACATACTGTACCTTTTAAATAGAATAATTAAAATATGTTTTGTTCTTCAGTTTAACAATAGAGGGTATGCACATGATGTCATAGTGGGCGGGGTCATAAAAATAACCTGATCTGCCCGGATGTCAATGTAAACAGTCCACTGTGAATAGTCAGGATCTCAGTTGAGTCCAAACGTCCCGCTGAGGGGGGCGTGCTCAGAGAGGAATACGAATACGAATACAGGATGATCCAGGTTGTTCTAAGCTGTCCTCTGCTGTCCCAGGGTCGGTGTTGTGTTTACGGTCTGGATGACTGAGATGAATCTGCAGAGACAACGTAAACGTTATCTTGTGTTCTTTTTTTCCCCGTGTAGAAATGCTGCTCATGGTTTCTCTCTGATCCCCGTGGACAGTCTGAAGGTCACCATGAAGGAAATCCTCCAGAAAGCTCTGAAGAAAAGGAAAGGCTCACAGAAAGGCTCAGGTAATCACACAGGTACCAGATCCCATCCTCCTCTTCTCGTACTCACGTTCTTTATTCCTTCAGTTGTCTGATCGTCTACAGTGAGACGGCACAATGTTTAATTTAAAACAAACACGAGCACACAGATGAGATCACCTGTGTTTGGTTTTATCCGTTCTCAAAGGATTGATGGCGTTTGTCTCTCTCCTGACTCACTCAGGTCCGATGTATCGTCTGGAGAAGCAGACGGAGCCAAACGTCTCGGTGGACTTGGACTCGACACTCGAGACTCAGAGCACTCTGGAGTTTTGTCTGGTCAGAGAAAACAGTAAGTTAACCCGGGACGTCCCAGGGTCAGACTGCAGTTTCTTAAGGGGGTTGTTGTTTATCGAACTGTTTTTCCTTCTCGTTTCTTCAGGCTCGAGAGGCGAGGAGAGCTCAGAAGAAGACCCTCCCATTGACATCACCACAGTCCAGGACATGCTGAGCAGTCACCACTACAAGTCCTTTAAGATCAGTATGATCCACAAGCTGCGCTTCACCACGGATGTCCAGCTAGGTACACACTGCACACTCACTCTCACTGCGCACTCACTCTCACTGCGCACTCACACTGCACACACACTCTCACTGCGCACTCACACTGCACACACACTCTCACTGCGCACTCACACTGCACACACACTCACACTGCGCACTCACACTGCACACTCACTCTCACTGCGCACTCACACTGCGCACTCACACTGCGCACTCACACTGCGCACTCACACTGCGCACTCACACTGCGCACACACACACTGAGTTACACATGGCACACACACACTGTACACTCAAAGAGTTGAAGGATCTGGATACTTAAAGCCATTACAATCTCAAGAAAACTCCAAGACACCATCTCATTCATGAAGTCTTTTATTATGATAGCACAGTCGGCCATATTTGGCAAGTTTTGGCATCATGGCTTCATTGGGGATTCGAGAGGCTTGATATTCCTGAGTGTTTTCTTGGTGTTTGTTTTCCACATATAAAGGTAACCACAAATGGCACTATACAAACCTCCCAGCAGGGGGAGCCACAATCTGTCCTGACTCAGAGTCTTATCATCTGGACTACTTACAAACCAAAGAAACACACATGATTTGTATGAAGTAAATAAAAACACAAATAAATGTTTGTAAATTCAGTGATGAAGATGAACAATTTTTCATCTTAAACGTTGGTTGCGTCCTCTAAACCGATGCATGTTGGAGTGCACACCTCTCCTTGGCCTCTCACCTGTCTTAATAACACCTGGCGTTTACTCACTCAAGCCGTGGATTGGAGCGTCAAAGTCTGATCATAAATCATGAATGGGTGTGAAATATGTTTTTTTTTTTTTCCCTCTTCAGGCATTTCAGGAGAGAAATTGGAGATCGATCCTGTCACCAATCAGAAGGCCAGTACAAAGTTCTGGATCCGACAGAAACCGATCTCCATCGACTCGGATCACCTCTGTGCCTGTGACCTCGTAGAGGAGAGGAGCCCCAGTGAGTGTAACACACACACACACACACACACACACACACACACACACACACACACACACACACACAGCACCATGTCCTCACAGCTTGATTCAATTGTTTCCAAGTTGAGGGTCCTAACAGCCCACGAGCTACGCAGCACAAATAGTGTGATGCACTGTTATTTACATTTAAAGCATGCAGTGTGGACGGCGAGCGTCCGATGCTGCACAACGCCACGTGATATCTAACGCTGGCGTGCTGTTTGGACTCGATGTCACACGTCTGTGATTTGAAGCTCAGATCACATTAAGACCTGACTGAAGTTCTGCTGGGAGAGAAAGTGTCACCTCTGATGTGTCGTTAAAGTTTTCTGTTTTTTTATCTCTGTCTTTCAGGTCATGCCATTTTTAAACTCACTTATCTCAGTAACCACGACTACAAGCCTCTCTACTTTGAGTCGGATGCTGCTACGGTCAACGAAATCGTGCTAAAGGTGAGTTCTGACTGCTGACCATCTGAAGTCTGGGAATAAAAAAGCTCTAGTTTTATTTTTTATCATCAGCAGTGAAATAAAAATAATAGAATAAATAATCAAAGTGTGATGATGAAAACGTTTTATTTACTCCTCCTCTCTCTTGACCTTCAGGTGAACTACATCCTGGAGTCTCGGGCCAGCTCCTCCCGGGCCGATTACTTCACCCAGAAACAGAGAAAACTGAGCCGCCGGACCAGCTTCAGTTTCCAAAAGGACAAGAAGACGGGTCAGTAAGACAGACCCAAGCTGCTCAGACACCTGTCTGTCTGTCTTAAAGACGCCTGACCGTCTCACTGACAGTTTCAGGCTAACAGAGGTGGAGACGATGTGAAGTCAGAGGAGCCGAGAAAAAGAGAGCGAAGAGCAGGACAAACGTCTCAGAAAACGTCTGAAAGTCCACCAGGGTGAACGTCAACGAGCAGAAGCGAGCTCCTCTTCCTGTTTCTGAGAGGAACGAGACGTGAAATAAAAGAGGGGCGGAGTTTGAGCTGCCTGTCGGTCCTCGTTCATTCACTGCCTCCATCTTCAGATGGACTCATTACAGCTTCTTATGTTGGTGCATCCGACATCAAATCAAAGCTATGTGCTAATATCTCTGCTTCTGTCGGCCATCTTTAACAGATTTAACACAAACTGTCACATTTTTAATGTCTGTACATAAAGATTTTACATTCAGGAAATTAAATAATGGTGATGAAACCAAGTCCTCTTTTTTTCTTTCAGTCTAGATCTTTATCGACTTTTAATGACACAAACGTAACCCAGAACTGCCAGCAGATGCGTGTGTGTTGTGTGTCTGCTCCGCTCTGTTACGCCTCTATGCACCCTCGTCCGTCACACACACAGGCTCAGAGCGCAGCAAGGAGCAGTTTGGCCAGGCCGCTGGCGTCCCGAGACCGAGCAGTTCCCACAGTAGTTATAGATTACACTTGCGTCAGCGTGATATAATACGATGTATGCGGTATAAAAACCCTTATAAACACATCAACAAACACACATCGTTTTTCTGGACCGTGAGGACGGTTTATTCTGAAAAGTAACCGGATCTTTATTGTTGTTTCGGTTTCTGACTTCCTGTCCCGCTTGATCTGCTCGCTGGTAAATTGATGCTCATATGTGACGCCACTGATCCAGTTAATCAATCAAATGTATTAATGTTCCGTTTGACAGTGAACCTGCAGCCCTGTCCTGTAACAAACAGTAATACTGCCATCTAGTGGTCAGCACTGGTATGACCCAACATTAGGGTTTATAAGGTAACAGTGACGCCATCTAAAGTTAGAATGACCCTCTGTGTTTAATAGTTTCTGATCAGAGGTTAGGGTTCAGGGTTCAGTATAAAAATGTGTTTTGTAAAACTGGAGTCACTTTTTAAATGTTATTGAAACCCTAAACTAACAGGCATCTGTACATTATTTTACTCCTTTTCAAATGAGACATTTAAAGATGCAGCAGTGTCCTTTTACATCACTGAGTCTACAGGGAGACACTGAGGACGACTATCTACAGAGAGCCTGAAGGGACAAAATAAGTGAGAATAAATAATAAAAAATAATCAGAAAGAAACTTTAGGGACATTTAATTAATAAATTATTGTGTTGAAGACATGTGCACAGTCCTGCAGGGTTACACAGTTTAAGATGTGAATGTTCAGACAGCAGTCTGGTGGAGTTATGGTGGTAAAGTAAAACTGACTGAGGACAGGGTTTTAGAAGATCCTGTTGCTGTCGGTCACACTGAAAACCTGTTAACCAGCACCGCAGCGCCGCTCAGGTTCACGTGAGTCAGAGATGCTGTTAAATGAATCCTAGTCGCTGAGGAGGATTATGTAAATGAAGAGATTATAATGAGCCCGTGTTCAGGGACCACCAGGGTTTCTTGGCCCGTCTGGATCATTAGCTCTTCAGCTGGTTTCACTCAGGAAGAGATGCAGAACTTTGCGCTGGACTCGACCCAGAGACATAATCCTGATGATTCACCCCTCAGGGTGTTAATGAAGCGGGTCAGTTGGGAGAGGCTGCAGAAAAAGCTCTTTTAGACTCAGGTGTTTTTGTCAGCTCTCTAGTCCCGGGATTTTCAGGTATTTGATCTGAGTTCTGTCCATCGGGTCTTCAATTTATCTACCTGAATCATTAGAGTGATAAATAGAAGGACTTAGCTCCAGTGTATTGCCCAGCATGTACTCAAATACTAAATCAACATGATGGGTCTGCTTTCAGGTTTCTTAACCCGATAACTCAGATATCTGCACTTCTAAGATTTCCTAGACTCACTTTGAAAATCCAAAAGTAATCTAGTGACCCCCCCCCAAACCCAGCTGTAAATAACAGGCTGCTGATGTTAATGCAGCATATTCTTTCAGCTGTAAAATAATACTTTGCATACGTTGCTCTTTCCATAAAAAAACATCCAATCAAAACCTTGTGCATGCTGTCTAACTTTCGATGGACTTACTCGCCAATAAATGTATTTTATGCAAGTTAGACAGCTTAGAGTTTGCATGCATTTTCAAAGTACTTTAAATCATGACTTTTCCTAAACATCTTTGTTTTTGAGTCCCTGAAGAATCAAGCTAATAAGATGTATATGTTGCCAAATTGTTTTACTTACAAGTACATCATTACTGGCAGGGGCCCCCCTTGAAATCTTATTGGCCACCCCAGGTGCCACCGAAAAACGATTGGCTATATGATTGGCTTTGGCCTTGCCAGAGGTAAGACTTATGAAATCCTGCTTTGCAACAGGCAGCTCAAAGTCTTCAGTGTGCAGATTTAAAATAGTGACTTTGGACATACATTTTGTTATGAGTGCTTGAAGATTGAAGCTGAGAAGCTGTAAATGTTGTTGTTATAAGTCGATGTGATTGGTGCAGGCAGAAGGGGTAAATGTGTGTACACAAAACTTCAGGCCACCCCTGCACAAGTCAGAGCCCCAGTTGGGCTACCCCAGTCCAAAAAGACTGGACACGCCCCTGATCACTGGGGATAGAAAGGGTTAAAAAATTATTTTTCACATTGCTCCAAGCGGGCAGCTGGGTGTTCGAATCCGACCTATGGCTCCTTTCCTGTACGTCATAAAATATAAAATAAAGAAACAGCGGTGGATCTCATCTGGCTTCATGACACCTTTTCAAAAAACGATCTCATTTTGAATTTAAAATTATTCCACTCACATACTCTCTTAAATATATCTACAGCTGAGTCAATTCAATCAGTTTGAAGTGAAATGAATCTCGTCCGTTCACTCTGTCAGCTTCCCACAGTGGACTAAAGAGACCAGCTTGACTCTGGGCCAAACTCCCGAGGCCCAGTCTACTTACCCCTCTGCTCCTCTCATGGCCTACATTCAAACACACTCCGTGGTGGGTTTTTCAGGGCGCTGACATCGACTGTGTCTCCAGATGAATGAACTACAGTGCTCTAATGTGCAGCACTTATCTGAGCCTGCACAGCCTGTCAGACTGCCAGCCGTCACAAAAGACGCTGAGCTGAGAGGCTTGATGCTCCGCCAGAAGAGCCCGGCCCCTCGCCACTCAGCCTCACTGCTTTACATTCAGTCACTGTCATGGCCTACATTCAGTGTAACACACACACACACATGAACACACACACACAGCTGTAACCAAGCCCGGGGAAGCTCAACGATTTTGTTGATTGTGAAATCGAAGGTGGAGCATGCAGGGATGAAGGACTGATGGAGGTCAGAGCGGGGATTTGGAAGGGGGGGCATCTTCAGAGTCTGTGGCTCCATTAAGTCCAGCTGAGGTCTCTGAAAGGGGGGGGGGGGCAGAGAGAGAGCAAAAACCTAACCCAGATAGGAGGAAGTCTATCTTAAGTCTGTCTTTAAAGCTCAAACACACTCGTCCCTCCAGGATTGCAAAGCGTCTTCTGTGATCGACGGTAACACCATTGTGAGGAACTTTAGTTGTGTTGATTTTTGACGCCCTCTGTGGACAAAACTACACCTTTAACCTCTTTCCCTTAGCATGAACGGTTTTCTCATAAAAAATAATTCACTAACATGTGTCTCTAGTCTGTCTACAAACCCCCCAATTATGAGAAAAGTCCATCCTCTCCGTCTTCTGCCTGCTCCACTTTTCAGAAAATGTGTACTCAAACAGGACGTTTGGAGATATTCCCTTCATGACATCACAAAGGGCAGTAACCCCTCCCCCAGGTGGGTGACACTCCCACAGCTAGGTGTTTGTTCTGCCCTCTGAGTCTGCCTTCTCACTGTAAACAATGGAGCGAGAAAGCCAGAGACACCCAAGACCTTCAGCCTGTTCTGAGCAGGGCAGAAATACAGGGGTTTGAGGAGCACTGAGACTTATTTAAACTGGTTGAAGAGGAGGAGGATATGTGACCTTTAAAGGATTTGATTTCATTATACCATTTAGAATGTGAAAGATAAAATATAGCATGTATAAATTAACTCTCTGTTAGGGGATTCCATGTTTATCTATAGTTTAATATCAAGCTAACTAAAGTCCATCTCATGCAGACAGTCTCTAAACCAACTAACATCATTCTGTTCATCAGCGCACATCCACTTTGCATAAATAAAACGAAGGTGACAGCACCCAGAGTTCCCATTCCATTTATTAGATATGGTTTATAAATAGACACACTCAGACACATATGTTGAAAGTATAAAAAATACAAGATTACTAGACGTTTCAGTGAGGTCTCTTCTTCGTCTCCTTTGACACGTTATTTTTATCTCGAGTGACTGACAAAAAAATGGAAAAATTCACTTTTTTTTTCTTACACAGCATAGTAGTTTTCACTTTCACAAGTCCATTCATCGAGCAAGTTACTATCATCAACGTCATGTTAAACTGAGATCAGAGCGTAGAAAACACATGCAGCCAGTAACTCTTCACTGGAACTGTACAGCACCGTCCGTCAGTCAAATATATATGTGCTTCAGGTTTCACCAAACTTTGTCTTACAAATAAAGGAGAGCTGATATCACGAGGGAAAGCGCTGAAATGGAGAACTATGGAACTATGGTCAACATGGTACTCCCAACTGGTCAAATATGGCAGCTTGGTTTGTGGTTGTACGTTTCCAAATATGACACCAGTAGCAGGGCTCCACGGTCAAGTGAGCAAAAATAATATGCAACATCCTGTTTCAAATTTGGACAAAGAGCTTGCACATGATAATGACCTTTACATGTGCAATAATAAACAGAGATGCTAACACTGCATATGGGTTGGGTGCAGTATTGCAGCGTAATTCCTCGGTTGGCTTAAATAAGTACTCATGGATGTATGCCAGTTTCTCAACCCACAATTTCTAACAGCAATCCTTAAAGAGCGTTTGAGCCTTACGTATCACATCACCTGCACTACTGAGTGTCCAGAGCTAACCGCTATCAACAAATTCTGCAGAAAAATGTAGACTGTCTGCTCAGAACTGCACTGTGGTATTGAAAGTGTCCTGGTTTACAATGTAATAGGAGTTTTATTGTCCACCCCTCACCCTGCAGCTACCATCTTATGCTTATTTAGCTTAAACCAGGAGCGTGTCAAGAGGGGGTAGCCAGGAATAGGGGCCCCTTGAAATCTGATCGGCCACCCCAAAAATCCTAAATTGTGATTGGCTATTTGCCATGTCAGAGGTAGGACTTTTTGCAAAAGGCTGACATTAGTTTTCTTTACACGTGAATGTATCATATTTTCTTTTGTTTTTACTTTAA